CACTAGATCAGAAGGTGGGAAATATATAAATGTAGTGAGTTAATTAGGTTCGAAAGGTATCTAACGCACATGTATAGGGAAAAATGGTGCATTGGCCAGGCCGGTCAGTATGGGAACTTGGAGTGCAAATGCCAGGGAGAACGAAACGGCTCAGATCTCGCATAGTTCACGGAATCTAGTGGTCTCACTCAAATAGAAGGTAGGAAATATATTAATCGAGTGAACATAAGTTTTTGAAAGGTAACTAACGCACATGTGTAGAGAAAATGGTGCATCGGCCAGTCTGGCCGGCATTTCGCACTTATAGTGCAAGTGGGGCCACAGAGAACGGAAACGCTCGTTTCTCAAAAAGTAAAGGAAATCTAGCGGTCTCACTCGATCAGAAGGTGGGAAATATATAAATCTAGTCAGCTAATAAGGTTTGAAAGGTATCTAACGCGTATAGGGAAAATGGTGCAGTGGCCAGGTCGGTCACTATGGGAACTTAAAATGCAAATCCCAGGGAGGACGGAAGCGCTCAGATCTTGCATAGTACGCGGAATCTAGTGGTCTCACTCAAATAGAAGGTAGGAAATATATTCATCTAGTGAACGTAAAGGTTTGAAAGGTAACTAACGCACATGTGTAGAGAAAATGGTGCATCGGCCAGTCTGGCTGGCATTTCGCACTTATAGTGCAAGTAGGGCCAGGGAGAACGGAAACGCTCATTTCTCAATAAGTAAAGCGAATCTAGCGGTCTCACTAGATCAGAAGGTGGGAAATATATAAATCTAGTGATCTAATAAGGTTCGAAAGGTATCTAATGCACATGTATATGGAAAATGGTGCATTGGCCAGGCTGGTCAGTATGGGAACTTATAGTGCAAATGCATGGGAGAACGGAACTTCTCAGATCTTGCATAGTACACGGAATCTAGTGGTCTCACTCAAATAGAAGGTAGGAAATATATTAATCTAGTGAACGTAAGTTTTTGAAAGGTAACTAACGCACATGTGTAGAGAAAATGGTGCATCGGCCAGTCTGGCCGGCATTTCGCACTTATAGTGGAAGTGGGGCAAGGGAGAACATAAATGCTCATTTCTCAAAAAGTAAAGGGAATCTAGCGGTCTCACTCAATCAAAAGGTGGGAAATATAGACAACCTAGTGAGCTATTCAGGTTCGAAAGGTATCTAACGCACATGTATAGGGAAAATGGTGCTTTGGCCAGGCCGGTAGTATGGGAACTTAGAGTGCAAATGCCAAGGGGAACGGAAGCGCTCAGATCTTGCATAGTACATGGAATCTAGTGGTCTCACTCAAATAGAAGGTAGGAAATTTAATAATCTAGTGAAAGTGAGGGTTTGAAAGGTAACTAACACACATGTGTAGAGAAAATGGTGCATCCGCCAGTCTCGCCGGCATTTCGCACTTATAGTGCAAGTGAGGCCAGGGAGAACGGCAACGCTAATTTCTCAGAAAGTCACGAAAATCTAGCGGTCTCACTCGATCAAAAGGAGGGAAATATAGAAATGTAGTGAGCTAATAAGGTTCGAAAGGTATCTAACGCACATGTATAGGGAAAAATGGTGCATTGGCCAGGTCGGTCAGTATGGGAACTTGGAGTGCAAATGCCAGGGAGAACGAAATCGCTCAGATCTCGCAAAGTACACGGAATCTAGTGGTCTCACTCAAATAGAAGGTAGGAAATATATTAATCTAGTGAACGTAAGGGTTGAAAGGTAACTAATGCACATGTGTAGAGAAAATGGTGCATCGGCCAGTCTGGCCAGCATTTCGCACTTATAGTGCAAGTAGGGCCAGGGAGAACGGAAACGCTCATTTATCAAAAAGTAAAGGAAATCTAGCGGTCTCACTCGATCAGAAGGTGGGAAATATATAAATGTAGTGAGTTAATTAGGTTTGAAAGGTATCTAACGCACATGTATAGGGAAAAATGGTGCATTGGCCAGGCCGGTCAGTATGGGAACTTAGAGTGCAAATGCCAGGGAGAACGAAACGGCTCAGATCTCGCATAGTTCACGGAATCTAGTGGTCTCACTCAAATAGAAGGTAGGAAATATATTAATCGAGTGAACATAAGTTTTTGAAAAGTAACTAACGCACATGTGTAGAGAAAATGGTGCATCGGCCAGTCTGGCCGGCATTTCGCACTTATAGTGCAAGTGGGGCCACGGTGAACGGAAACGCTCGTTTCTCAAAAAGTAAAGGAAATCTAGCGGTCTCACTCGATCAGAAGGTGGGAAATATATAAATCTAGTCAGCTAATAAGGTTTCAAAGGTATCTAACGCGTATAGGGAAAATGGTGCATTGGCCAGGTCGGTCAGTATGGGAACTTAAAATGCAAATCCCAGGGAGAACGGAAGCGCTCAGATCTCGCATAGTACACGGAATCTAGTGGTCTCACTCAAATAGAAGGTAGGAAATATATTCATCTACTGAACGTAAGGGTTTGAAAGGTAACTAACGCACATGTGTAGAGAAAATGGTGCATCGGCTAGTCTGGCTGGCATTTCGCACTTATAGTGCAAGTAGGGCCACGGAGAACGGAAACGCTCATTTCTCAATAAGTAAAGCGAATCTAGCGGTCTCACTCGATCAGAAGGTGGGAAATATATAAATCTAGTGAGATAATAAGGTTTGAAAGGTATCTAATGCACATGTATATGGAAAATGGTGCATTGGCCAGGCCGGTCAGTATGGGAACTTATAGTGCAAATGCATGGGAGAACGGAACTTCTCAGATCTTGCATAGTACACGGAATCTAGTGGTCTCACTCAAATAGAAGGTAGGAAATATATTAATCTAGTGAACATAAGTTTTTGAGAGGTAACTAACGCACATGTGTAGAGAAAATGGTGCATCGGCCAGTCTGGCCGGCATTTCGCACTTATAGTGGAAGTGGGGCCATGGAGAACATAAATGCTCATTTCTCAAAAAGTAAAGGGAATCTAGCGGTCTCACTCAATTAGAAGGTGGGAAATATATAAACCTGATGAGCTATTCAGGTTCAAAAGGTATCTAACGCACATGTATAGGGAAAATGGTGCTTTGGCCAGGCCGGTAGTATGGGAACTTAGAGTGCAAATGCCAGGGGGAACGGAAGCGCTCAGATCTCGCATAGTACATGGAATCTAGTGGTCTCACTCAAATAGAATGTAGGCAATATATTAATCTAGTGAACGTGAGGGTTTGAAAGGTAACTAACGCATATGTGTAGAGAAAATGGTGCATCGGCCAGTCTGGCCGGCATTTCGCACTTTTAGTGTAAGTGGGGCCAGGGAGAACGGCAACGCTCATTTCTCAGAAAATCAAGGAAATCTAGCGGTCTCACTCGATCAAAAGGAGGGAAATATAGAAATGTAGTGAGCTAATAAGGTTCGAAAGGTATCTAACGCACATGTCTAGGGAAAAATGGTGCATTGGCCAGGTCGGTCAGTATGGGAACTTGGAGTGCAAATGCCAGGGAGAACGAAATCGCTCAGATCTCGCAAAGTACACGGAATCTAGTGGTCTCACTCAAATAGAAGGTAGGAAATATATTGATCTAGTGAACGTAAGGGTTGAAAGGTAACTAATGCACATGTGTAGAGAAAATGGTGCATCGGCCAGTCTGGCCGGCATTTAGCACTTATAGTGCAAGTAGGGCCAGGGAGAACGGAAACGCTCGTTTCTCAAAAAGTAAAGGAAATCTAGCGGTCTCACTAGATCAGAAGGTGGGAAATATATAAATGTAGTGAGTTAATTAGGTTTGAAAGGTATCTAACGCACATGTATAGGGAAAAATGGTGCATTGGCCAGGCCGGTCAGTATGGGAACTTAGAGTGCAAATGCCAGGGAGAACGAAACGGCTCAGATCTCGCATAGTTCACGGAATCTAGTGGTCTCACTCAAATAGAAGGTAGGAAATATATTAATCGAGTGAACATAAGTTTTTGAAAAGTAACTAACGCACATGTGTAGAGAAAATGGTGCATCGGCCAGTCTGGCCGGCATTTCGCACTTATAGTGCAAGTGGGGCCACGGTGAACGGAAACGCTCGTTTCTCAAAAAGTAAAGGAAATCTAGCGGTCTCACTCGATCAGAAGGTGGGAAATATATAAATCTAGTCAGCTAATAAGGTTTCAAAGGTATCTAACGCGTATAGGGAAAATGGTGCATTGGCCAGGTCGGTCAGTATGGGAACTTAAAATGCAAATCCCAGGGAGAACGGAAGCGCTCAGATCTCGCATAGTACACGGAATCTAGTGGTCTCACTCAAATAGAAGGTAGGAAATATATTCATCTAGTGAACGTAAAGGTTTGAAAGGTAACTAACGCACATGTGTAGAGAAAATGGTGCATCGGCCAGTCTGGCTGGCATTTCGCACTTATAGTGCAAGTAGGGCCAGGGAGAACGGAAACGCTCATTTCTCAATAAGTAAAGCGAATCTAGCGGTCTTACTCAATCAGAAGGTGGGAAATATATAAATCTAGTGAGCTAATACGGTTCGAAAGGTATCTAATGCACATGTATATGGAAAATGGTGCATTGGCCAGGCCGGTCAGTATGGGAACTTATAGTGCAAATGCATGGGAGAACGGAACTTCTCAGATCTTGCATACTACACGAAATCTAGTGGTCTCACTCAAATAGAAGGTAGGAAATATATTAATCTAGTGAACGTAAGTTTTTGAGAGGTAAATAACGCACATGTGTAGAGAAAATGGTGCATCGGCCAGTCTGGCCGGCATTTCGCACTTATAGTGCAAGTAGGGCCAGGGCGAACGGAAATGCTCATTTCTCAAAAAGTAAAGGAAATCTAGCGGTCTCACTTGATCAGAAGGTGGGAAATATATAAATCTAGTGAGCTAAAAAGGTTCGAAAGGTATCTAATGCACATGTATGGGGAAAATGGTGCATTGGCCAGGTCGGTCAGTATGGGAACTTAGAGTGCAAATGCCTGGGAGAACGGAACCGCTCACATCTCGCATAGTACACAGAATCTAGTGGTCTCACTCAAACTGGGCGGGGTGATGGAAAGCGGGAGAATGGGGCGGGGTGATGGAAAGCGGGAGAATGGGGCGGGGTGATGGAAAGCGGGAGAATGGGGCGGGGTGATGGAAAGCGGGAGAATGGGGCGGGTTGATGGAAAGCGGGAGAATGGGGCGGGTTGATGGAAAGCGGGAGAATGGGGCGGGGTGACGGAAGGAGGGAGAATGGGGCGGGGTGATGGAAAGCAGGAGAATGGGGTGGGGTGATGGAAAGCAGGAGAATGGGGCGGGGTGATGGAAAGCAGGAGAATCGGGCGGGGTGATGGAAAGCGGGAGAATGGGGCGGGGTGATGGAAAGCGGGAGAATAGGGCGGGGTGATGGAAAGCGGGAGAATGGTGCAGGGTGATAGAAAGCGGGAGAATGGGGCGGGGTGATGGAATGCCGGAGAATGGGATGGGGTGATGGAAAGCGGGAGAATGGTGCGGGGTGATGGAAAGTGGGAGAATGGGGCGAGGTGATGGAAAGCGGGAGAATGGGGCGGGGTGATGGAAAGGGGTGAACGGGTTGGGGTGACTGAAAGCAGGAGAATGGGGCGGGGTGATGGAAAGCGGGAGAATGAGGCGGGGTGATGGAAAGCGGGAGAATGGGGCGGGGTGATGGAAAAGGGGAGAATGGAGTGGGGTGATGGAAAGCAGGAGTTTGGGGCGGGGTGATGGAAAGAGGGAGAATGGGGCACGGTGATGGAAAGCGAGAGAATTGGGCGGGGTGATGGAAAGGAGGGAAAATGGGGCTGGGTGATTGAAGGAGGGAAAATGGGGCGGGTTGATGGAAGGAGGGAGAATGGGGCAGGGTGATGGAAAGCGGGAGAATGGGGCGGGGTGATGGAAGGAGGGAGAATGGGGCGGAATGATGGAAAGCGGGAGATGGGGCGGGGTGATGGAAATCGGAAGAATGGGCGGGGTGATGGAAAGCGGAAGAATGGGGCGGGTTGATGGAAAGCGGGAGAATGGGGCAGGGTGATGGAAGGAGGGAGAATGGGGCGAGGTGATGGAAGGAGGGAAAATGGGGCGGGGTGATGGAAGGAGGGAGAATGGTGCGGGGTGATGGAAAGTGGGAGAATGGGGCGGGGAGATGGAAAGCGGGAGTATGGGGCGGGTTGATGGAAAGCGGGAGAATGGGTCGGGTTGATGGAAAGCGGGAGAACAGGGCGGGGTGATGGAAAGCGGGAGAATGGGGCGGGGTGATGGAATGCGGGAGAATGGGGCGGGGTGATGGAAAGCGGGAGAATGAGGCGGGATGATGGAAAGCGGGAGAATGGACGGGGTGATGGAAAGCGGAAGAATGGGCTGGGTGATGGAAAGCGGAAGAATGGGGCGGGGTGATGGAAAGCGGGAGAATGAGGCGGGATGATGGAAGGAGGGAGAAAGGGGCGGGATGATGGAAAGCGGGAGAATGGGGCAGGGTGATGGAAAGCGGGAGAATGGGGCGGGGTGATGGATAGCGGGAGAAAGGGGCGGGGTGATGGAAAGCGGGAGAATGGGGCGGGTTGATGGAAAGTGGGAGAATGGGGCGGGTTGATGGAAAGCGGGAGAATGGGGCAGGGTGACGGAAGGAGGGAGAATGGGGCGGGGTGATGGAAAGCAGGAGAATGGGGCGGGGTGATGGAAAGCGGGAGAATGGGGCAGGGTGATGGAAAGCAGGAGAATGGGGTGGGGTGATGGAAAGCAGGAGAATGGTCCAGGGTGATAGAAAGCGGGAGAATGGGGCGGGGTTATGGAATGCCGGAGAATGGGATGGGGTGATGGAAAGCGGGAGAATGGTGCGGGGTGATGGAAAGTGGGAGAATGGGGCGAGGTGATGGAAAGCGGGAGAATGGGGCGAGGTGATGGAAAGCGGGAGAATTGGGCGGGGTGATTGAAAGTGGGAGAATGGGGTGGGGTGATGGAATGCGGGAGAATGGGGTGGGATGATGGAAAGCGGGAGAATGAGGCGGGGTGATGGAAAGCGGGAGAATGGGGCGGGGTGATGGAAAGGGGGAGAATAGAGTGGGGTGATGGAAAGCAGGAGTTTGGTGTGGGGTGATGGAAAGAGGGAGAATAGGGCAGGGTGAGGGAAAGCGAGAGAATGGGGCGGGGTGATGGAAAGGAGGGAAAATGGGGCTGGGTGATTGAAGGAGGGAAAATGGGGCGAATTGATGGAAGGAGGGAGAATGGGGCGGGGTGATGGAAAGCGGGAGAATGGGGCGGAGTGATGGAAGGAGGGAGAATGGGGCGGGTTGATGGAAGGAGGGAGAATGGGGCGGGGTGATGGAAAGCGAAGAATGGGGCGGGGTGATGGAAAGCAGGAGAATGGGGCGGGGTGATGCAAAGCGGGAGAATGGTGCAGGGCGATAGAAAGCTGGAGAATGGGGCGGGGTGATGGAAAGCGGGAGAATGGGGCGGGGTGATGGAATGCCGGAGAATGGGATGGGGTGATGGAAAGCGGGAGAATGGTGCGGGGTGATGGAAGGAGGGAGAGTGGGGCGGGTTGATGGAAAGCGGGGGAATGGGGCGGGGTGATGGAAAGCGGAAGAATGGGGCGGGGTGATGGAAGGAGAGAGAATGGGGCGGAATGATGGAAAGCGGGAGAATGGGGCGGGGTGATGGAAAGCGGGGGAATGGGGCAGGGTGATGGAAAGCGAAAGAATGGGCGGGGTGATGGAAAGCGGAAGAATGGGGCAGGGTGATGGAAAGCGGGAGAATGGGACGGGGTGATGGAAGGAGGGAGAATGGGGCGGGGTGATGGAAAGCGGGAGAATGGGGCGGGGTGATGGAACTCGGGAGAATGGGGCGGGGTGATGGAAAGCGGGAGCATGGGGCGGGGTGATGGAAAGCGGGAGAATGGGGCGGGGGGGATGGAAAGAGGGAGAATGGGGCGGGTGATGGAAAGAGGGAGAATGGGGCGGGGTGATGGAAAGAGAGAGAATAAGGCGGGATGATGGAAAGCAGGAGAATGGGGCGGGGTGATGGAAAGCGGGAGAATGGGGCGGGTGATGGAAAGCGGGAGAATGGGGTGGGGTGATGGAAAGAGGGAGAATGGGGCGGGGTGATGGAAAGCGGGAGAATGAGGCGGGGTGATGGAAAACGGGAGAATCGGGCGGGGTGATGGAAAGCGGGAGAATGGGGCGGGGTGATGGAAAGCGGGAGAACGGGGCGGGGTGATGGAAAATGGGAGAATGGGGCGGGGTGATGGAAAACGGGAGAATTTGGAGGGGTGGTGGAAAGCGGGAGAATCGGGCGGGGTGATGGAAAGTGGGAAAAAGGGGCTGGGTGCTGGAAAGCGGGAGAATGGGGCGGGGTGATGGAAAGCGGGAGAATGGGGCAGGGTGCTGGAAAGCGGGAGAATGGGGCGCGGTGATGGAAAGCGGGAGAATGGGGTGGGGTGATGGAAAGAAGGAGAATAGGGCGGGGTGATGGAAAGCGGAAAAATGGAGCGGGGTGATGGAAAGAGGGAGAATGGGGTGGGGTGACGGAAAGAGGGAGAAAGGGGCGGGGTGATGGAAAGAGGGAGAATGGGGCGGGGTGATGGAAAGCGGGAGAATGGGGCAGGTGGTGGAAAGCAAGAGAATGGGGCGGAATGATGGAAAGAGGGAGAATGGGATGGGTTGATGGAAAGCGGGAGAATCGGGCGGGGTGATGGAATGCGGGAGAATGGGGCGGGGTGATGGAAAGCGGGAGAATCAGGCAGGGTGATGGAAAGCGGGAGAATGGGGCGGGGTGCTGGAAAGCGGGAGAATGGGGCAGGCTGATGGAAAGCGGGGAATGGGGCGGGGTGCTGGAAAGTGGGAGAATGGGGCGCTGTGATGGAAAGCGGGAGAATGGTGCGGGTTGCAAGAAAGCGGGAAAATGGGGTGGGGTGATGGAGAGCGGGAGAATGGAGCGGGGTGATGGAAAGCGGGAGAAAGTGTCAAAGTAACTAGGAAGAGTTGGGCTTAGGAGCCATAGCTTAGGAGCCTTGGTGGAGTTCGAGTGAGTTAGGAGAGTCGAGAGGTTTGCAAAAAGAGTGATTTCACTATGGAGCAAACAATACAAATAGGCAAGCAAAAGCAAGAATGGTGCACCACCAACTAGAATGGCTATAACTACATTACCCAATCATACAGGCTGTTACATATAGAAAATATAACTTATATTTTCGGACAGAAAGGTGCAGGGTGATGGCAAGCGGGAGAATGGGGAGGGGTTATGGAAAGAGGGAGAATGGGGCGGGGAGATGGAAAGAGGGACAATGGGGCGGGGTGATGGAAAGAAGGAGAATAGGGCGGGGTGATGGAAAGCGGGAGAATGGGGCGGGGTGATGGAAAGAGGGAGAATGGGGCGGGGTGCTGGAAAGAGGGAGAATGGGGCGGGGTGATGGAAAGAGGGAGAATAGGGCGGGGTGATGGAAGGCGGGAGAATGGGGCGGGTTGATGGAAAGTGAGAGAATGGTGCAGAATGATGGAAAGAGGGAGAATGGGACGGGGTGATAGAAAGCGGGAGAATGGGCGGGGTGATGGAATGCGGGAGAATGGGGCGGGGTGATCGAAAGCGGGAGAATCGGGCAGGGTGATGGAATGCGGGAGAATGTGGCGGCGTGCTGGAAAGCGGGAGAATGGGGCGGGGTGATGGAAACCGGGAGAATGGGGCAGAGTGCTGGAAAGCGAGAGTGTGGCGGTGCACTTAGAGAGTGGGGCGGTGCGCATGAGAGTGTGGTAGTGCGCTTAAAGAGGGGGACGGTGCGCTTGGGAGTGGGGTTGTCCGCTTTAGAGTGAGGTGGTGCGCAGAGAGACTACAGCGGTGGGCTTATAGAGTGGGGCAGTGCGCTTAGAGAGTGTTGCGGTGCGCTTAGAGAGTGTGGCGGTGCGACTAGAGAGTGTTGTGGTGCACTTAGAGAGTGTGGCGGTGCGCTTAGGGAGTCTTGAGATGCGCATAGAGAGTAAGCGCACCGCCACACTCCCTAAGCGCACTACCATACTCTCTAAGAACACCGCCACACTCTCTAAGCGCACCACCACACTCTCTAAGCGCACCGCCACACTCTCTAAGCGCACTGCCACGCTCTAAGAGTACCGTCACACTCTCTAAGCGCACCGTCACACTCTCTAAGCGCACTTTCGCACTCTCTAAGCGTACTGCCACTCTTTAAGTGTACTGCCACACTCTCTAAGGGCACTGCCACACTCTCTATGTGCACCACCACACTCTCTAAGTGCACCACAATACTCTCCAAGCGCACCGCAACAGTCTTGAAGAGCACCGCCCCACTCTCTAAGCGGACCCCTGTAGTCTCTCTGCGCACCACTGCATTCTTAAGCAGACCACCCCACTCCCAAGCGGACCGCCCCACTCTTTAAGCACACTGCCACACTCTCACGCGCAGCGCCCCACACTCTTAGTGCACCGCCACACTCTAAAGCGCACCGCCACACTCTCCAAGCGCACCACCAAACTCTCTATGCGCACCGCCACACTCTCAAAACCACTGACCAGCTCTTAAAGCGCCCTGCACACTCTCTACGAGCACCGTAACACTCCCTTAGCGCACGGCCATACTCTCTACGCGCACCGCCACACTCCCTAAGCGTACAAGCGTACTCTCTAAGAACACCGCCACACTCTCTAAGCTCACCGAAACACTCACTAAACGCACTGCCACACTCTCTAAGAGCACCGCCACACTCTCTACGTGCACCGCCCCACTCTCTAAGTGCACCGCCACACTCTAAGCGCACCGCCACACTCTCTCAGTGCACCGCAACACTCCCTAGGCGCACCGCCACACTCTCTTAGCGCACCACAACACTCCCTAAGCGCACTGCCCTACTCTCTAAGATCACCGCCACACTCTCTATGCGCACTGCCACACTCTCTAAGCGCACCGCCACACTCTAAGCGCACAGCTACACTCCCTAAGCGCACCGCCACACTCTCGAAGCACACGGCCACACTCTCTAAGCGCACCCAAACTCTCCCTAAGACCACCGCCACACTCTCTAAGAGCACTGCCACACTCTCTAAGCGCACCGCCATACTCTCTAAGCTCACCGCCACACTCTTTAAGAGCACCGCCACACACTCTAAGCGCACCGCCATACTCTCTAAGCGCACCGCCACACTCTTTAAGTGCACCGCCACACTCTCTAAGTGCACCGCCACACTCTCTAAGCGCACCGCCACACTCTCTAAGCACACCGCCACACTCTTTAAGCGCACCGCCACACTCTAAGCACACCGCCACAGTCTCGAAGTGCCCCGCCACACTCTCTAAACGCACCGCCACACTCTCTAAGCGCACCGCCACACTCTCTAAGCGCACCGCCACACTCTCTAAGCGCTCCGCAACACTCTCTAAACGCACTGCCCCACTCTTTAAGCGCACTGCCACACTCTCATGCGCACAGCCCCACTCTCTAAGTGCACCGCAGCACTCTCTAAGCGCACCGCAGCACTCCCTAAGCGCACCGCCACACTCTCTACACGCATCGCAACACTCCCTAAGCGCACCGCCACACTCTCTACGCGCACCGCCACACTCCCTAAGCGCACTGCCATACTCTCTAAGAACACTGCCACACTCTCTAAGCGCACCGCCACACTCTCGAAGCGCACCGCCACACTCTCTAAGCACACTGCTACCCTCTAAGAGCACCGCCACACTCTCTAAGCGCACCGTCACACTTTCTAAGCGCACTATCACACTCTCTAATTGTACTACCACTCTCTAAGTGCACCGCCACACTCTCTAAGCGCACCGCCACACTCTCTATGTGCACTACCACACTCTCTAAGTGCATCGTCACACTCTCTAAGCGCACCGCCACACTCTCTATGTGCACCACCACACTCTCTAAGCGCACCGCAATACTCTCTAAGCGCACCGCAACAGTCTTAGAGCGCACCGGCCCACTCTCTAAGCGCACCCCTGTAGTCTCTCTGCGCATCACCGCATTCTTAAGCGGACCACCCCACTCCCAAGCGAACCGCCCCACTCTTAGAGCGCACTGCCACACTCTCACGTGCACCGCCCCACTCTCTCAGTGCACCGCCACACTCTCAAGCGCACCGCCACACTCTAAGCGGACCGCCACACTCTCCAAGCGCACCACCAAACTCTCTAAGCGCACCGCCACACTCTCAAAACCACTGACCTACTCTTAAAGCGCCCCGCATACTCTCTACGAGCACCGCAACACTCCCTAAGCGCACCGCCACACTCTCTACGCGCACCGCCACACTCCCTAAGCGTACTGCCATACTCTCTAAGAACACCGCCACACTCTCTAAGCGCACCGAAACACTCACTAAACGCACTGCCACTCTCTAAGAGCACCGCCACACTCTCTAAGCGCACCGCCACACTCTCTAAGTGCACCGCCACACTCTAAGCGCACCGCCACACTCTCTAAGCGTACTGCGACTCTCTAAGTGCACAGCCACACTCTCTAAGCGCACCGCCACACTCTCTAAGCACACCGCCACAGTCTCGAAGTGCCCCGCCACACTCTCTAAGCGCACAAAAACACTTTAAGCGTACCGCCACACTCTCTAAGCACACCGTCACACTCTCTAAGCGCACTGCCACTCTTTAAGACAACCGCCACACCCTCTAAGCGCACCGTCACACTTTCTAAGCGCACCGCCACACTCTAAAAGTGCACTGCCACACTCTCTAAGCGCACCGCCACACTCTCTAAGCTCAGCGCAACACTCTCTAAGCGCACCGCCCCACTCTCTAAGCGCACTAGCGTAGTCTCTCTGCGCACCACCGCACTCTTAAGCGGACCACCCCACTCCCAAGCGCACCACCCCACTCTTTAAGCGCACTGCCACACTCTCACGTGCACCGCCCCACTCTCTAAGTGCACTGCCACACTCTCAAGCGCACCGCCCCACGCTAAGCGCACAACCAGACTCTCTATGTGCACCGCCACACTCTCTAAGCACACCGCCATACTCTCTAAGCGATCTGCCACTCTCTTAGAGCACCGCCACACTCTCTAAGCGCACTGCCATACTCTCTAAGCGCACCGCAACAGTCTTTAAGCACAACGGCCCACTCTCTAAGCGCACCCCCGTAGTCTCTCTGCGCACAACCGCATTCTTAAGCGGACCACCCCACCCCCAAGCACACCGCCCCACTCTTTAAGCGCTCTGCAACTCTCTCACGCGCACCGCCCCACTCTCTAAGTGCACCGCCACACTCTAAGCGCACCGCCACACTCTCTAAGTGCACCGCAACACTCCCTAAGCGCACCACCACACTCTCTTAGCGCACCACAACAATCCCTAAGCGCACTGCCCTACTCTCTAAGATCACTGCCACACTCTCTATGCGCACCGCCACACTATCTAAGCGCACCGCCACACTCTAAGCGCACAGCCACACTCCCTAAGCGCACCGCCACACTCTCGAAGCACACCGCCACACTCTCTAAGCGCACCCAAACTCTCCCTAAGACCACCGCCACACTCTCTAAGAGCACTGCCACACTCTCTAAGCGCACCGCCATACTCTCTAAGCTCACCGCCACACTCTTTAAGAGCACCGCCACACACTCTAAGCGCACCGCCATACTCTCTAAGCGCACCGCCACACTCTCTAAGCGCACCGCCACACTCTTTAAGTGCACCGCCACACTCTCTAAGTGCACCGCCACACTCTCTAAGCGCACCGCCACACTCTCTAAGGGCACCGCCACACTCTTTAAGCGCACCGCCACACTCTAAGCACACCGCCACAGTCTCGAAGTGCCCCGCCACACTCTCTAAACGCACCGCCACACTCTCTAAGCGCACCACCACACTCTCTAAGCGCACCGCCACACTCTTTAAGCGCTCCGCAACACTCTCTAAACGCACTGCCCCACTCTTTAAGCGCACTGCCACACTCTCACGCGCACAGCCCCACTCTCTAAGTGCACCGCAGGACTCTCTAAGCGCACCGCAGCACTCCCTAAGCGCACCGCCACACTCTCTACACGCATCGCAACACTCCCTAAGCGCACCGCCACACTCTCTACGCGCACCGCCACACTCCCTAAGCGCACTGCCATACTCTCTAAGAACACTGCCACACTCTCTAAGCGCACCGCCACACTCTCGAAGCGCACCGCCACACTCTCTAAGCACACTGCTACTCTCTAAGAGCACCACCACACTCTCTAAGCGCACCGTCACACTTTCTAAGCGCACTGTCACACTCTCTAATTGTACTACCACTCTCTAAGTGCACCGCCACACTCTCTAAGCGCACCGCCACACTCTCTATGTGCACTACCACACTCTCTAAGTGCACCGCCACACTCTCTAAGCGCACCGCCACACTCTCTATGTACACCACCACACTCTCTAAGCGCACCGCAATACTCTCTAAGCGCACCGCAACAGTCTTAGAGCGCACCGGCCCACTCTCTAAGCGCACCCCTGTAGTCTCTCTGCGCATCACCGCATTCTTAAGCGGACCAACCCACTCCCAAGCGAACCGCCCCACTCTTAGAGCGCACTGCCACACTCTCACGTGCACCGCCCCACTCTCTCAGTGCACCGCCACACTCTCAAGCGCACCGCCACACTCTAAGCGGACCGCCACACTCTCCAAGCGCACCACCAAACTCTCTAAGCGCACCGCCACACTCTCAAAACCACTGACCTACTCTTAAAGCGCCCCGCATACTCTCTACGAGCACCGCAACACTCCCTAAGCGCACCGCCACACTCTCTACGCGCACCGCCACACTCCCTAAGCGTACTGCCATACTCTCTAAGAACACCGCCACACTCTCTAAGCGCACCGAAACACTCACTAAACGCACTGCCACTCTCTAAGAGCACCGCCACACTCTCTAAGCGCACCGCCACACTCTCTAAGTGCACCCCCACACTCTAAGCGCACCGCCACACTCTCTAAGCGTACTGCGACTCTCTAAGTGCACAGCCACACTCTCTAAGCGCACCGCCACACTCTCTAAGCACACCGCCGCAGTCTCGAAGTGCCCCGCCACACTCTCTAAGCGCACAAAAACACTTAAAGCGTACCGCCACACTCTCTAAGCACACCGTCACACTCTCTAAGCGCACTGCCACTCTTTAAGACAACCGCCACACTCTCTAAGCGCACCGTCACACTTTCTAAGCGCACCGCCACACTCTATAAGTGCACTACCACACTCTCTAAGCGCACCGCCACACTCTCTAAGCTCAGCGCAACACTCTCTAAGCGCACCGCCCCACTCTCTAAGCGCACTAGCGTAGTCTCTCTTCGCACCACCGCACTCTTAAGCGGACCACCCCACTCCCAAGCACACCGCCCCACTCTTTAAGCGCACTGCCACACTCTCACGTGCACCGCCCCACTCTCTAAGTGCACTGCCACACTCTCAAGCGCACCGCCCCACGCTAAGCGCATAACCACACTCTCTATGTGCACCGCCACACTCTCTAAGCGCACCGCCATACTCTCTAAGCGCACTGCCACTCTCTTAGAGCACCGCCACACTCTCTAAGCGCACCGCCATACTCTCTAAGCGCACCGCAACAGTCTTTAAGCACAACGGCCCACTCTCTAAGCGCACCCCCGTAGTCTCTCTGCGCACAACCGCATTCTTAAGCGGACCACCCCACCCCCAAGCACACCGCCCCACTCTTTAAGCGCACTGCCACACTCTCACGTGCACCGCCCCACTCTCTAAGTTCACCCCCACACTCTCAAGCGCACCGCCGCAGTCTAAGCGCAACGCCACACTCTCTAAGCAAACCGCCAGATTCTCTAAGCGCACCACCACACTCTCAAAACCACTGACAAACTCTTAAAGCGCCCCGCACACTCTCAAGCGCCCCGCACACTCTCAAGCGCACCGCCACACTCTCCGAGCGCACCGCCACACTCTCTAAGCGCACCGCCACACTCCCAGCGCACAGGCATATTCTCTAAGCGCACCGCCACACTCTCGAAGCGCACCGCCACACTCTCTAAGCGCACCGCAACACTCCCTAAGCACACTGCCACACTCTGTAAGAGCACCGCCACACTCTCTAAGCGCACCGCCACACACTCTAAGTGGCCACACTCAAGCGCACCGCCACAGTCTCTAATTTACCGTCACACTCTCAAAGCGCACCTCCTCACTCTTTAAGTGCACCGCCACACTCTTTAAGCGCATCGCCACACTCTCTTTGGCACCGACACACTCTAAGCGCATCGCCACACTCTCTAAGCGTACCGCCACACTCTCTAAGCGCACCGCCCCACTGTCTAAGTGCACCGCCACACTGTAAGCGAACCGCCACACTCTCTACGCGCACCGCAACACTCCCTAAGCGCACTGCCACTCCCTAAGCGCACCGCCACACTCTCAAAGCGCACCAAAACACTCCCTAAGACCACCGCCACACTCTCTAAGAGCACCTCCAAACTCTCTAAGCGCACCGCCATACCCTCTAAGCACACCGCCACACACTCTAAGTGCACCGCCACACTCTCTAAGCACACCGCCACACTCTCTAAGCGCGCCACACTCTCTAAGCGCACCCCCACACTCTCTTTGGAACCGCCACACTCTAAACACACCGCCACACTCTCTAAGCGCATTGCCACTCTCTAAGTGCACCGCCGCACTCTCTAAGCGCACCACCAAACTCTCTAAGTGCACCGCCACACTCTCTAAGGGCACCGCAACATTCTCTAAGCGCACCTCCCCACTCTCTAAGCGCATCGCCGTAGTCTCTCTGCGCACCACCGCACTCTTAAGCGAACCACCCCACTCCCAAGCGCACTGCCCCACTCTTTAGGCACACTGCCACACTCTCACGTGCACCGCCCCACTCTCTAAGTGCACCGCCACACTCTAAGCGCACTGCCACACTCCCTAAGCGCACCGCAACACTCTCTAAGCATACCGTCACACTCTCTAAGCATACCGCCACACTCTCTAAGCATACCGCCACACTCTCTAAGCATACCGCCACACTCTCTAAGCACACCGCCACACTCTCTAAGCGCGCCACACTCTCTAAGCGCACCGCCACACACTCTTTGTAACCGCCACACTCTAAACGCACCGCCACACTCTCTAAGCGCACTGCCACTCTCTAAGTGCACCGCCACACTCTCTAAGCGCACCAACAAACTCTCCAAGCGCACCGCCACACTGTCTAAGGGCACCGCAACATTCTCTAAGCGCACCGCCCCACTCTCTAAGCACACCGCCGTAGTCTCTCTGCGCACCACCGCATTCTTAAGCGAACCACCCCACTCCCATGCGCACCGCCCCACTCTTTTAAGCGCACTGCCACACTCTCACGTGCACCGTCCCACTCTCTAAGCGCACCGCCACACTCTATAAGCGCATCGCCACACTCTTAGCGCACAACCACACTCTCTATGTGCACCGCCACACTCTCTAAGCACACCGCAACAGTCTTTAAGCACACCGGCCCACTCTCTAAGCACACCCCCGTAGTCTCTCTGCGCACCGCCATACTCTCTAAGCGCACCGCTACACTCTTTAAGAGCACCGCCACACACTCTAAGCGCACCGCCATACTCTCTAAGCGCACCGACACACTCTCTAAGCGCACCGCCACACTCTCGAAGCGCACAGCCACACTCTCTATGCGCACCGAAACACTCCCTAAGACCACCGCCACACTCTCTAAGAGCACCGCCACATTTTCTAAGCGCACCGCCATACTCTCTAAGCGCACCGCAACACTCTTTAAGTGTACCGCCACACTCTCTAAGAGCACCACCACACTCTCTAAGCGCACCGCCACACTCTCTAAGCGCAGCGCCACACTCTCTAAGCGCACCACCACACCCTCTAAGCGCACGCACCGCCACACTCTCTAAGCGCACCGCCACACTCCCTATGTGTACCGCCACACTTTAAGTGTACCGCCACACTCTCTAAGCATACCGTCACACTCTCTAAGCATACTGCCACTCTTTAAGACAACCGCCACACTCTCTAAGCGCACCGCCACACTCTCTAAGCGCACCGCCGCACTCTATAAGTGCACGGCCACACTCTCTAAGCGCACCGCCAAACTCTCTAAGCTCACCGCAACACTCTCTAAGCGCACCGCCCCACACCCTAAGCGCACTGGCGTAGTCTCTCTGCGCACCACCGCACTCTTAAGCGGACCACCCCACTCCCAAGTGCACCGCCCCACTCTTTAAGCGCACTGCCACACTCTCACGCCCACCGCCCCATTCTCTAAGTGTACTGCCACACTCTCAAGCGCACCGCCCCATGCTAAGCGAACCGCCACACTCTCCAAGTGCATTGCCAAACGCTCTAAGCGCACTGCTACACTCTCAATACCACTGACCCACTCTCAAAGCGCCCCGCACTCTCAAGTGCACCGCCAGACTCTCCGAGCGCACCTCCACACTCTTTAATCGCACCGCCACACTCTCTAAGCGCACCGCCACACTCTAAGCGCACAACCACACTCTCTATGTGCACCGCCACACTCTCTAAGCGCACCCCCGTAGTCTCTCTGCGCACCACCGCATTTTTGAGCAGACCACCCCACCCCCAAGCGCACCGCCCCACTCTTTAAGCGCACTGCCACACTCTCACGCGCACTGCCCCACTCTCTAAGTGCACCGACACACTCTCAAGCGCACCACCCCAGTCTAAGCGCACCGCCACACTCTCCAAGCGAACCGCCAAATTCTCTAAGCGCACCGCCACACTCTCAAAACCACTGAGAAACTCTTGAAGCGCCCCGCACACTCTCAAGTGCCCCGCACTCTCAAGCGCACCGACGCACTCTCCAAGCGCACCGCCACACACTCTAAGCGCACCGCCACACTCCAAGCGCATAGCCACACTCTCTAAGCGCATTGCCACACTCTCAAAATGCACAGCCACACTCTCTAAGCGCACCGCAACACTCCCTAAGCGCACTACCACACTTTGTAAGAGCACCGCCACATTTTCTAAGCGCACCGCCACATTCTCTAAGTGCACCGCCACACTCTAAGCGCACCGCCACAGTCTCTAAGCGTACCCTCACACTCTCTAACCAATTTTCAACCATGAGTTCTAGTTTCCTCCAGGCCTTGATATTCATACACCTAACCACCGCTATTTTCAAGGGGAAACTCAACCCACTAATCTCGCGTTTCAAAGCTACCCTGCACGTTTTCGACTATTTCAGTTCGACACTTATATGACTGGGGCTATGAATGACGCCGAAAGCCTCATCGGAATTCGGTCGTCGGAACGGTTTTGCCAGTGTCGTCGAGGGGGGTCGTCGGAGCCGAGTATGACGAGGCGGGCGACTGACGCGTGTGCGGGCCCGCCAGCCTGGCCCAGGGCTGGGCGGAGCGCACGACCGCCGCCCCGCAGCCCCGCTCCGAGAGTGAACAGCGGCCCACGTTATCGGGTGGGGTCGGCGAACTGGGGACCCCTTGCGCAAGGGAAAGTAACCCTCGCGCGAAGGCAGCCCAACCGTGCCACCTGCCCGCGAGGTCCTAGTAACCCATCGCGGCCTGACTGGACGGGCAGGCGAGGGCCGGGCGAAAAATCGGGGGCCCCTCGGGACACTCGACAATTTCGCGACCCGTTGCGGTCGCGCCACGTGTTCGCCCGTGGCTTGGCAGCGCACGCATGCAAAATTTCGGACGATGCGAAATTAAAACATCTCGCATCTACCACCGCGATCCTTTACGAAAATCGACACGTGTCGGCCCTAGAGACGCTCCGCGCGCAGGCGAGTTGTGCGTCCCCTCGCCAACCTGGGTCAATGGACGCGAGGTCGTCGCTCTGCCAGGGCGGAGACGGACCACCTGTGCCACTAGCGCATGCGCCCTCCGAGCCCTGCCGAGCCAGGCCCCACACCCTTGGGCGATGCTGAACGGCCCCACCCCCTTTTCATTGCGGAAGGTGGCTTCGCTCTTCATTTTCTCCTTTTCTCATTTTCCCAGACAGCTCTGCACCTCCCCCTAGATCCGTGCTATCGTACCTTAGTCAATATGGAGCCGATCCTCGACGCCGAGAAGTCGGCGCCGACTTGGGCTGACTTTCCCCTTAGACACCGAATGGGTCGCAGTCTCAGCTTCACCTTCGAGTGGGACGACTTCGCCGCCCTTCGCGACCAGAAGAAAGAGTTTACCGACAGATGCTTGGGATTCGCCATCAGGTGGGGCTCGAGTAGTTGCGGTTGGAGAATAGGGCGGATATCGTCGCCGACTTCCTCTAGATGGGCGCATAAAGTATATGTCGGCGCTGTCGGGGGCAGATTGTCGCAGATTGTCGCGACCCCGTCCATGGACGTCGGTCGGCATAGCAAGCGTCGATCTGGTAGCGTTTGCTTACCCGCCATCCCATCATCCCTCATGCCCAGTCGTGCGCCCAGGTACGCTTGGTTTCGCAATGAACTGAACGACCAGAAGTTGTGGGTAATCGGAGTCGGCCCGCTTCGATCGGCCTTGAAGGCCGCAAACCATTCTTGCTTTGCTACGGTTTTCGACGCCAACATCGCCGCCATCCCGTTAAGCATGACGTGAGCTGTTTCCCCGTTGTCCAGTTATCGTTTTGTTTAGTCGGTCGCATCATCGCCTAATGGTGTGGTCGACGCCGTCGTGTATTGCATGTGCAGCGGCGGTCCGCTTCCAGGGTCACACTGCAGCGTCATAGCCATCCTCTACCCAGGAGATCTGCTGAAGGCTGAGGGACAGGTCTGCAGGACCTCGATCCGGCACATCGACCCGCATACCGGGAAACTGAAGCACCGTGACGAGGCCGTCCGCGTGCTGAAGTAAGTTGTGAATAGTCGTCGATTTCCCGCTTGTTAGTCGCCGACCCAGGGTATCACATGCTGACCGCCTTCCTTTACCACGATGCTCCAGGCTATTCCGCACGGCAGTCCTGGCCGAGCTGGGGCATCCCGGTAGGCAGTGGGACGGGGCACCGCCATCAAAACAGTGGTGGAGGACAGGCTTGCCGACTGCAACCACCCAATCCGCGACGTGAATTGCACGTTGCACGTTTATCCATTAAGGAGGTTGCACGTTTCTATATGCTCCGCTCACAATGTTCTGCGCTTGCCGGTGTTGTATGTAGAAAGTGCCAGACACAGTGTCGGACGAGAAGGTCGGCACCGGCATGCTTGCCGCGATGTCGTTCGGGTGGGTGGCCAAGCAGGTTGACCTGCTGACGGGCGAGAAGGGTCGTGGTGCGGTGAGACTCGAGAACATCAAGACAAAGGGGCTAAAGTCGTTGCGAGACAGCATGGTGGAGTACATCTGCAAGCGCATTGCCGAAAAACGCTGTGCGGCGCCGACATCACAGCCCGTGGACAGTGTGATTGATGACGACGGCGCGGAAAGACAGACGGCGCCCCAAGCAGCAGTTGCCGCCCAGCATCAGGGGAACGCGAAGGTGTCCGCGGAAGGAGGAAACGGTGGTGGAGGAGGCAACGCTGCGACAGGTGGAGGAAGGAAGGAAGAGGAGGAGTCGGAGGAGGATTCGGAGTCGGAGTCGGAGTCTGAGGAGGAGGCGGAGAAGCGGAAGGACGAGGACGAGGACGAGGAGGAGGAGGAGGAGGAGGAGGAGGAGGAGGAGAAGGACGAGAAGGATGACGGCGATGAGGAGGAGGAAGGGAAGGATGAGGAGGGGGAAGGGAAGGATGGGGAGGGGGAAGGGAAGGATGAGGAGGGGGAAGGGAAGGATGGGGAGGGGGAAGGGAAGGATGAGGAGGGGGAAGGGAAGGATGGGAAGGGGGACGGGAAGGATGAGGAGGGGGTGGAGGAAGTGGTGGAGTACGAGGTGGAGTTCGAAGAGGAGGAAGCTGCAGTAGAGGCGGTGGGGTCGGTGAATGAAAAGAACGAGGAAGCGGAGGATGGCGATGCGGGTAATGATACGAGGTCGGCAGATGGGGGGAAGGAGAAGGATGAGGTCGGCGTGGAGGCAATGACGGAAAAGGGCCAGGAGGAGGCGGCATGCGAAGGTGGGAAGGTGTCGGTCGACGCCGGCGAAGCGGCGAACACCACGGGCGTGCAGGAGACGGGGGACTCTTCTGATCGGCCGGGTAATGAGCTGGACGACGTCGAGCAGGTGCGAAAGGGAGAACTGGCGGAGAACGCTCGGCTGGCGACGTTGCTCGATGCGGAGCAGACTCGGCTGGACAAGTTTTTTGTTGGGATACGTGGACTCGTCGACCACGTGAAGGAGTTGGCCGAGCAGGTCGACGACACCGAGAAGTATGCGGCGGAACAGCTGCGAAACGCGACGGCGGCCATGTCGAAGACAATCACGCGCAACATCACCGGCAGCTTCAACGAAGTGTGGAAGACGATGAAGACCTTCGCGGAACAGGCGACGGCGTGGTTGGAGGACTTCGACAACCCGCAGGGTTGTGTGGCAGTTGCACGCGCGGTAGCGGTCGACGCGTTGGCCAAGCATGTGACTGGGGTGGTGGGCGAAGCGCAGCGGGGTTTGGAGCTGTACATCACGACGCAACTATCCGCCGCGCAGGTCAACATCGCCACCGCTGTGACCACCAGGCTCCCCGTGCAGCCGCCGCCACCGCCTCCGCCCACGCCGCCCGCCCTCCAGGAAGAGCTCTTGAAGTCGTTCAAGGCCGACATTATGAAGGCGGTGACGGAGGCCACCCAGCAGTCTTTCGTCGCTTCCGGGATGAAGATGATGGCCAAGATGGTCGGCACTGTGGCGCCTGGTCGACGTGGGTCATCGCCGTCGGCCAATGACGCCGATCACGCGCAACGGAAGACGGCCGACAAGCAGGGCCTGAAGAGGACGGGCGACGGAGACGACAAGGAGAGCGCGAAGGGCGACGCGAAGCGGAGCAAGGGATCGGACGGGAGCCACGGCTCGAAGCCCGCGCCACAGAGCGTGATCGACCAGTTGAAGACGAAGGCGGGGTGGAGGGTGATAAGGACGTCGAACACCAAGGGTGGCGGAAGCGGGACGGCAGAGGGTGGCCCTGCCAACGAGGCTGCCGCTAACGTCACCGCTCAGCCAGGCTCGCCTTTGGTCGCCGAGAAGACCCATCCTCAGGCGAGCGGTGGGAAAGTCGTGACCGACAAGGAGGTCCCAACTACTCAGGCGGCGGAAGATGGCGGCGCCGGAACCACCAAGGGACCGTCCGTCGCTGTGGCGGCCAAGGGCAAGACGAAGGCTGCTTCTGCTACGGTCGTCGGCACCACCAAGTGCCCTCCCCGTAACCCCCCAGCGGCTACCAGCGCGCCTGCCGGCCAGTCAGGTGCGACCAAAGATGGGGAGGCCCGTGCAGCCCCTCCAGCTCCAGGAGCCCCGGCTGCCGTCAAGGGCGGCGCGAAGGCTGCTTCGGCTAAGGGCGCTGCTCCGGCATCAGCTAAGGGGCCCCCCGGTGCTGACACGCTCAGGGAGATGCTCCGCCACATGGAGGCACATAGCAGGGACGTGCAGCAGCATCCCGTGGTCGACGCCGACCTTGCCGGAACAGCACGTCGCTCCGTCACTCCGCAGGTTGCCGGCACATCGTCCGGGGCCCCACTTGCAGCGCATCCGGTCGCCGCCCCAACGCCTGCGGACAGCGTTTCTGCGTGCCCATTTAGTCGGATGCAAAGCGGCTGCTCCACCGGTGACTCAGCAGGAACACGGCAAAAGCGCGACGACGATGTCGATAAACGCGACCGCACCCTCACCAGGTGCAGCTGTGGTTGATGCGGCGGCGGAGAGGGGAGTGAGTGCAGTGCTAGCCACCGGTGGCCGCGCCAACAAGCATGCCGCACTCGCTGCCTTCCTGGCCCATTTAGATGCAGCAGAACGCCCTGGGCACGCCCCTGCTCTGGCCATCATGGACACGGCGCATGTGGGGCTGTCGGCGACCCACGGTGGGGGATCGGCGGAGCCGACGGCTGCAACGGGTGCTGTCGCCGAGAGCAATGCGGGAGGGAAGGGGAAGGTCAACACCGGGAAAGGGAGCGCGGTCTCTCAGAGGAGCACGCAGGCGGTGTCGGCGGGGAAGGAGATGTCGGAAGAGAAAGGGAAGAAGGCGGAGGGGAGTCAGGACAAGAAGGGCGGCAAGAGTAAGCCGGCGAAGAAGAAGGAGAAGGCGGAGGGGGATGACGAGGAGGGCGGCGAGGGAGATAAAGAACGCAGGGGGCATGGCATCCGCCAAGACAGGTCCGGCGACGGGCATGGGTGGGTGGGCGAGATTAAGGTAAACGGACGGAATCGATACATCGGCAAGTCGAGGGAGAAGATGGAGCTGGCCTACGAGCACGCGATTGCGTACGTCGTCTACGACGACTACGTGAGCAAGGTGCTCATGAAGGAGCTCACCGTCTTGAAGCCGGGGGAGTTGGAGAAATGGAAGGAGGTGTGGGAGGAGGTCAAGCTCTTACCGACTGGGTTGTGGACGGTGATGTGGGCCGGAGGCTTGTGCCATCCGAGAGCAAGGTAAGACGGCTATCGACGCGCCGAGTTCTGTCGACCATGTCGGTGTCATTACGCTGAATTCGGTGTCGTTTTAATGTGTTTGCGCGGCAGGATCGACGACATACTCGGCAGGTACCGTGGGTACGCGAGGTCAGGTGATGCGCTTCATGGGGTGCTCTGGCCGGCAATCTGGTTCCCCATCATCGAAAACACGGAGGAAGGCAAGGAGGAGACGGAGGCTCTCATGTCGGCGATGGTAAATTGCGTGTCGATGTGCACGGCGTATGGGAAAGTCGCGGCGAGCGCGGCATTTGGGAAGGTCGATGCGAGCGTAGAAGGGAATGCAGGAGAGAAGACGGAGATGGAAGTCGCAGAGGGGAAGGCGGACAAGAAGACGAGATGGCGGCCCAGGCGTTAGCGGCATTTGCATGCGCCCTCTGGTGCTTCGTGGAGACGGGAGCATCGTTGCTCGGTGCTGTGGGCGAAGGGAAGGCGCCGGCGATGGTGGCAGGTGCGGAGGATGAGAGGGCCGAGGCATTCAAGAAGGTGATGCACACGGTGATCGACTTAGCACACAATCGGGAGGCTCCCGCGGGGGAGGCTGCCCATAACGTCGCGCCATCGCTGCAGCGCCACGCAGTGGTCAGGGCCTTCGAGGAGGGAGTTGAGGAAGTTGAGGCCGACATGATCGCTAGAGCAACGGTCGAGACCTTGGCGTTCTGGGGAATGTGCCCCGTCGCCGGGCCCAAGCTAAAAGAGCAGGGCATCGATGTGACGTGTGACGCGAAGATGGAGTACGATATGGATCATAGGGGGAGGAAGGGGGAGAAGGTCAAGCAGGGCAAGGGCAGCAAGAGGAAGAAGGGCACGGAGGGCAAGGGCAGTACGGATGCGTAGTTGGCGGGCTGTGGTGTGCGGGATGCTATGGTATGGTTGGCGCCGTTGTCACAGTAAATCTAATGACTTTTTTATCGTAGGGCACGAATCTTCTTCGTTTCTGTTTGCTTCACTTTGTGATGACCCTAAACCCTACTGTTCACACTGAAACTTGCTAGTTATCTTTGAACGATGAGCCTTGTCGGCGCATCTGTCGACATCAATAAGAACATGCTACTCGGCGACGAGCTATGACTAGGTACATGTTGACAGCCTAGCAACATGCAAACATGCGAGACGTCGACATCTATCTGTGTTTTGATTAGTAATGAGTGACCGACTACATTTAACACGGCGGGATCAAGTAGGTTCGCAATGGCCTTGCTGTGAGTTGTTACAAACTAGCATAACAGCATTTGAAAAAAGAGGGGGGGGGGGGGGGGAGGAGGGGGGTTTAAAGTCTGCCACAGTTAACAGCATCGAACTACGCACACGCATATCCTACAAGCGCGCTCATGCCGTCTTCTTCCACTTGGTCCGAGGACGGTGCACCGGAGCGGTCGGTTTGGCCGGTGCTGTTGACTTGGCCGGTGCCGTCGGCTTCGCCAGGTCGGCCTTGGTCTTCGGCATCTGCTCCTCCCACGTGTCTGGAAACAGGGTTTCGACCCAATCACTCTGCTTCATGTTGAGCGCCACAAGCGCACAGGCGAGGTGTAGCTTCGAGACCACCTTGGGGCCCAGCCCCTTGACTCCAATGCCAGCCTCTTTGGACAACATCGGTGTCGTTCCCGGTTTGAGCACCGGGAGGGCATCGGCGAAGGTCCCGATGCCGCGATCCTGTGCAGTGTGTCGACCCCGGCCTCGGTGTCGGCTTCGCCGTCGCTCGCGCGTAGCTGGCGCACCGCATCGATGACCTTTAGCATGCGGCGCACCCTCTTGTTGAGTGCACCCTGCGTCACGCCGGCGAGGAGGGTGTGGCGGTCGATGAACCCCGGCTCGGCGATCCTGTCGCAAAGCCGACGGGTGTCGTTAGCGGTGGCGGACTTCCAGAGGCGCCAGGCGTCCCTCACGGTCTTGGCCTCCCGCCACGGCTGTACCACGTTGAGCTCGTAACTAGCCTCCTCGTCCGTCTGTGGGGGTGGCGGGGATTTTTCGTCCCCTCCGTCGGCGCCGGCTCCCATGTTGGCCGAATCCGCCGAGCCACCCTCGTTGGGAGATTGCGCGGTAGCACACGGCGGGGCCTCCGGCACTCTCTGTGCTTCTGACATACGGAGTGCCTCGGTGAGACGGGTTATCTTGGCGGTGAGAGACGCAATGGTGTCGTCGCGCTTCTCGAGCTCCTCCTGGAAGTCAATCTTCTCGTTTGCCGTTAGCCGCGAGGTGGTTTGGAATGCCCTACATCCAGCTCGTCGTCGACTTACCTCTGCCTGAATTTGGGTCGGCTCCCGACGCAAGTTGATCGTCTCGGTGTCGACCCTCTCGACCCGTTTTGCCCAGTGCTGGAAGAGGGGGATCCAGCAGAGCAGGGAGCCTTGGACGTACGGGTGCCATGGTGTGCGGACCAGCTTCACCGCTAGGTCCTCGGCGACGATGCGGCGCAGCATCGCGAGTGTGCGCCAGAAGTGCACCGCGGCTTTGTCGGCGTCGGACCCCTCAGCAGCCTTCCCTTCCGCCTGCAATTCGTCACGTGTATTAGAAGTTCAGACACTGTCGGCAACACGACTCGGAAACAAGGATACGAGGGCGTCGACTAACATACCGTCTTCAGCATGTCGTCGACGCCGGGGAAGATGTGCTCGGGAGGAGCTTCAAGAGCTTATCGGAGGGCTCCACCCTGCTCCGGCCCAAGAAGTAGTCCTGCTTGTAACCAGAGTAACCGGCCTTCTTCATCACCACCCCCACCGGAATGGCGGTGATGTACGCTCGCGTCATCTTGTCAAGCGCCCAGTGACCCAGCTCCGCGATCTCGGCGCGCGGCGTGCCGTCAATGGCCAGCTCCTGGGCCCCCCCGGCTCGAGCAGCGTGCACCTTCCTCTTGCAGAAGACCCCGTTTTTGTCCCACAACTGCCACGTCCAGCGTTGGTGGCTTGCCGCAGAGAGCTCCCCTTGGTCAGTGTCGTTTTTGGCGAAGAAGAGGTGCTTCTTGTACCAGCTCGCGCGTGTGCTGGTGTCCACCGGCGGAATGAGGCGGACGCCGTGAAACTGGCCGATCTGGTCGAGGATGAAATGCAACCACAGGCCCGTCTCGCCGACGGCGCACAACTCCGCTTCGAGGTGCCGCGCAGCGTAGCTCTGCTGCAAACGCGCATCATTGGACGTCTTCGAGTTCCGCGCAGCGATGACCATGACGACAGGCTGGTTCTCCGGGTTCACTGACGAGGTGCTCGCCAGTCGGTACAAGAATATGTGGGGGAGCGTGATCTCGCGGATGCTTGCGCCGCGCAGGTGAGAATGGTGGGAGAGTAGCGTGAGCACCTTCAACAGCAGAAACCGCCACAGCGTCTGCGACGGGCCCGTACCCCGCGGGTTCCAAGCCTTAGCCGCCCACATCGGCAGCACCCTGAACGTGATCTGGCGGAACTGTTCTGCGGTGTAGGTATCGCCAATGGTTCCGAGACGCCGATCGGTGCAGTTCCTGCCGACAATGCCGAGGGTAAGGGGCATTTAGGGAGACGTCAACACAGTACATGACAACAAGAGAGTGGTCGACAGAGGTTAAACAAAAACTCACTTGAGGTCCCGCTCGTTCTTGGTGCGGATCATGAACCGCACCTCCGACCTGACCACCGATATCTCACGCATGATGCTCAGCTCTGTCTCCCGGTATATCGTCGCCTCCACTCTCGCCGCCATCTGGCATGCCTTTATGCACCCGAGGAGCGTGTGCACCGTTGTAGATTGCACAGGCTGTGTTCCTGTGGCGTTGTCGCCCTCCTTGCTGGACTCGGCATCGAGCTTCATCTCCCGAACCATGTACTTCACGTATGCGCGAAGTCGGGACGTGGTGACCCTAGGGCCGTGCAGCCACACGTGCGACCGAGGGACATCGGCCTCTTGGTCCCAGTTCTTCTTCTTGTTGTCCCGAATGTAGTGCCCTATCTCGTCGACGCGCTTAAGCCTGTACTCCTGGGGAAGCTTGTTGCGAATTTGCATGAACATCTTCGCCGCCCACCTCTTGTAGTGATAGATCCACGAGGTGTACTTCCTCAGCGTGTTGTTCCTCTCCACGGTCTGCAGGTGGCGTAGGGCGTCCAAGACGAGCACGTCGATGGTCGCGTACACCATGTCTTCCTCGACGAAGTCTGCCGCCCTCCACTGTTTGCGCGGCACCGACAAGTTCTCCTGGTCGGCATCCTCGTCCTGTTCGAGCAGATCATCTATGTATTCAAGTTCCCGCCTGAGCCGTTCTTCCAAGGTGCGCTGACTAGTGCTACGCGGCGGACGCTCGTCGTTTTCGTCATCGCTTTCCTCCTCCTCCTCCTCCCCCCCATCCTCCTCCTCTTTGACCTCAACCTGGTTTCCAGAGCCGGCCGGTGCCGACGAAGTTCCTGGCCGTCCATTTCGCGTCAGATTCTGTTTCGTTTTCTTGTTGAACTCTCCGATCGGCGGTGGGGGAATGTCCTTGGTGAACTCCCCTTCCGGAATCTGCGTCAGCTTATCAAGATCGTAGAGTAAGGGGAGCGTCTCTTCCTCGGTAGATGTCGGACTGTGGTCGGTGGATGGTCTAGCGTCAGTCATGTCGACGTCGGCCATGTGGTAGCACGTATGTTGCTCTACCGTCATCCGTTTGCGATGCGGAGGTCGGTAAACCAGAGACGGTACTGATTCACGGGTGCGGTGTACGACCGAAGAGTAGCGCAGCGGTCTTCCTCTAGATAACGTTCAATAACGTCTAACTCGTGTTCGACCTCGTTATTGTTTTGGTCGGTAAACCAGAGACGGTAATGAGTCACGGGTGCGGTGAACGCGCGTAGAGTAGCACGGCGGCGGTCTTCTTCAAATTCTCGCTCAAGTGCGTCTAACTCGGCTTCGACCTCGAGCCGTTCCAACTGCGCTTTGATGTCGGCGTCTACAGAGTCGGCAGGGGGTGGAATGGGTTGCGGCTGTTGTGCTCTAGGGCGACCTCTGGCCATGCGTCGCCGACTGACGTCGACGTCGACGTCTACTGACCAAGTCGGCAACCGAGTAACCTACTGGCAGCTGAAAATTCTAAGTGCACGAGAGAGCAGGAAGAAACGCAGGAACGGACATGGGAATGAGCAGGCCCGCACGGTCACGGACGGGTATGGTCCTGAGCGACTCCGACGCTGCCGCGATTCAAGCACACCCCTATGCTCCTGCCGCCGTGCATGTGTTCTCGCATAGGCGGCGCACTGCCCGAAGTGCCACGCGCCAAGCATGGCTATTGTGACTTCGCGCTGCACCGAAGGGGCGTAAGCCAGGCCCTTTCCACGGTAGAATGGGCGTGTGTTACGTGGCTTGGGGCCGACATTGGCCTCTCAGTACCGAAATTACTGCATGCAGGCTCGAATCTCCCAGGGTTCCGGAATTCTTGAATCCCACTGTGGCAGTCCTACCGTGGGCGCCCAAAGATCGGCGCCGACTTACATTCGGCGCGCTTGGTTGTTTCCTTAGGTTCATTGAACATAGACAGCGTTGGGACTCTGGAAGTACTGGTCGACACCGACATCGCATGCAACACGCGATGCCACAGAACAGTTACATCCTGGACGGTCCGATTTTTGCCGCGTGGATCGAGCTGGCCCATTTTCAAAGGTGTGAATGTTTTCCCGCTTTGGGAAAATCACCGCTGGGGCGACGCGTGGCCACGACGGCCACGTCGTGGCAGCCTAGTACACTGTGGGGACGGTCCGGCTCCCCCCTATTGGTCCGCGTGGCGGCAGTCGCGGCTCGACGTGGCGAGCTTTCCTATTTTGTCCGCTGAGATTTACTTCTCAGGAATCTCCCAGCACAAACGTATGTCGTCGGATTGTCGACATTCCCGAGGGCTCCCGAGGCCCCTGGGACGCCATTTGGGCCCAGCTTGGAGCTTGGAGGTCGTCGCGAGCTTGTCAATCCCGAGGGGGGCCCTTGTCCCTTCTGAACCGCGAAATTGGGCGGTGTTTTTTGTCGGCTGAGTTATATCATCCCTAATGCTCGAAGTTTAAACTCAGGGTACATTCGTGGCCCGTGTCAGACTTCAGGTCAAAATTCCTTAGTCTCCAATTTGGCTCATCCGAACTCGGATTTGCCTCACAAACGAGCCACTTCGGGTCTTCCGAGCCTCCACTTCGGGTCTGACACAGGCTACGAATGTACCCTCATTATGCGAATCTGAATCCATAGCGCCACTTCTACCGGAATATCTCAGCGGAAACGGGTCGTCAGGCCTGACGACCCTCTGACGACTTGACGACATGCTGCCCCGGGCCGAAAAAAACTAAAACCCCATCGGATGGCATGCCATCCTAGGGAGGCATCAACCCTAAATCCATGCCTCCCCGTGTTTAGGGTTGATGCCTCCCTGACCGGATGCATGCCCTTCTGGGGTTTATTTTTTTTGCCCGCGGGCAGCGAGGTCCCCCGGGCGGAGTCGCTTGTCGGCTGAGATATACTCTTCGTACTCTCTTCGGGGATCTAGAACAGACTCCCGCTAAAATTTAATGATGCCCCACACAACCCTCGGTCAAAGATATAAAACGGGTGCATACCCCACTTGTGCAAGTGGGGTTGAAAGTAGACCGAAAGAAAATAGCGGTGGTTAGGTGTACAAGCTCCTTGTGCTGTCAGGTCCTGCACTTCCGATCCAAGCACATTATTGACCCTTAGCTTTACCGCTTTCGGGTCTCGAATACAACGGCGTCGAAACTGTCCTGTCTCATCATGCAGGTTAACCGTGTTCGCCGGCTTTGCAACTGCTTGTCCGCCTACTTGTATGAATCTGGGTCGGACGTACAGAGACGTTTTGCTTGCCAACGAGAGTTTGCGATTTTCCCCTAAATTCAGCCATGGCGTTCGCTAAGGTCGAGTACGGAATATGTTTTTTTACATCGTATAGATGACTGGCTTAGTGGTGACCTTCGTTCTATAACGAGTCTAGCTTTACATGTTCCTTCGTACTAGAAGTTCACGAGACAAGTTCCTACTTACGACTAGGCATTTTCTTTAAGGCGGATCCAAGGGTGCTACCGTAATCAGGACTATCTCGGTAGCACTTTCGGGTTCTTACCTTAGCAAGTGGCTGCTTTCTAGTTTTAAATCCACCGTTCGATAGTTCCTCGCCATTGATTGTTGATTGTCCGTGAAGAAGCAAACTATGAAGTTTCTGCTCAGATGGATGTTGCGTATCAGGAAATGACCATCGTCGAGAAGTAAGTGTAACGCTCCTGTTTGTTTGATAGCTTATGAAGTGCTAATCTTGCAAATTTGTAAGTTATCCTTAACTTTGTCTCTGACGTGAGCGATTGACTTCCCAACGGCAGGCGTGCCATGCGGGAGCTACCAAATGCACAAAACAGTCAGATGGAGACTACCACGAGCCAACTGGCTTCTCCTGAATGCTCCTCCGTCTCAGCTGAAGAACTCACCAGGTTCGCAATGCTCACTCCCCTGCCTGCTTCTCCCCTGTTGTTTCTCCCCATCAACTCATCTTCCGTTTGTATGTCTCCTCTTGTTCTCTCGTGCAGGCCGACCGCTGGCAGCAGCCTCACAAATTTTCCCATCAGCGAGTTGTACCACGTGGAGCATTACCTCAAGGCGGTGCAGCGACAACCCGATGGAGCCAGTCACTGCCCCGTGGACCCTCGACACCATGCGACTCCTGGCGCGCATGACGGCTCTGACCAGGCGATATTCGAAAGGGTAGGAGCAGGGGCTGGTAGGTGGTATGAATTGTGTTGTCAAAGGTGCTTCACGCAACCTTGCTCCGCATAGTCTCGTGCGCTTTCAATGAAATCGTCCGTGTACCGTTCTGTGCCTCCCATTGCTGTCCTTCCTGCACCTCCCATTGGTCTCCTTCCCGCAGGACCCCATCCCGACCTCGCTCACGCGGCTCCCCACAGCCTTGCAGAAGAAAGCTGTGGGAATTTTTGAGGAGATTCTACACTACATGGGGCTCAAGGGCGCGCTAGTCACCGACGAACGCGGGATGGCACAGACAGTGATTCGCATCCTCAAGTTGGCCCTTGGGAAGCCAGAGATGCGGGAGGAGCTGTACACGCAGCTGCATAAGCAAACGTGGAATAACCATGACAGGGAGGCGTGCTTGAGGGCGTGGGAGGTGATGCATCTGTGCGCGTCGGTGGCGCCGCCGGGGGAGCAGCTCGGGAAGCCTATTACCGACTACGTGCAGGAGGTCGCGAATGATGCAGCGGTGGACGCGGAGGTGAAGTCGCAGGCAATTGCCACGTGGCACGCGCTCAACAAGGCGATGAAGGTCGGGGCGAGGAAGACGGTCCCGACCGTTGATGAGCTGCTCACGCTGAAGACGGGCCAGGCGTTGAGGACGGGCCGAGCGCTGACAGGCAGAGTGCTAAAGACGGTGGCTTTTTTCCTGGATGACACGTTCAAGGAGGTCTGGTACGACGCGTCAACGACCGCTGCAAAGATTCTGGAGGTGAGTTGTGATGTGAGTGTAGATGCATGGGACTGTAGCACACAGATTTCTTCTCTGATTCTGAGACGTTTCTATCCTTGCAACTCATTGAACGAACAATGAGAACCAGATGCTTTTATCCATCCCACGGTCCTGTCCTATGTGGCCATAATCACTGTTGCTATGCTTGTGCAGAGTGTGGCAAGCAGTATCCGCCTGGAGGCGTTTCAGTCGTTCGGGTTGTACGAGCACATGAATTACGAAACGCTCGCTAACAACAATCTGAAAAACGCCTCCAGTGAGTGTCAACATAGTTTTCCTGTAATTATCATTTATAGCATTCACGGTCGGTGCAACAATCTAGTCCATGGTTGATAATTTCTCTATGTCAACTTTGTTGTGCAGATGAGTACGTGGGCATTGACGACAAGGCTTATATGGGGGACGTGATGGCGGGGATGATGAGCTTCAGGGAGAGGAGCGAGCGGCAGGTGGAGCAGCGCCTCATCTTCCGCAAGAGGTTCTTCCGGAGAAACGAGGAGGCAATCATGGATCAAGTGTTCGTGCACCTGACCTCTGTGCAAGTGAAGCAGGATTTTGAAGAGGGAAATTACCCCGTGTCGAGCGAAAATGTGGCACAGCTGGCAGCATTACAGCTGATTGTGGACTTCGGCTTGCTGCTCAAGTCTGAGGTCGACGTGTGAGTTCATTTGCATGTGAGGTTCCTCTTAGGAGAAGTGGTTGTTTCTAGACCAAGGGCTCTTATTAAAAGTAGTCAAGTCTTTCTGCTCATGTGCCTCCCTCCCTTCCATCCACCCTCATCCTCATTCGCTTCCACCCACCCACCCCCCTTCCTCCCTCCCTCTTTCCGATTCTCTTGGCACTCGCTTCAACCCTCCCTCCTTCTATAATCCCTCCGTCCTTTCCCTAGTTCTCATCCCTCCAGCGATTGGCAAGCAGAGGTGGAGAAAATAATCCCAGACCAGTTCCGGCCCATGAGGCAGAAGCGAGGGTGGGCTATGGATCTCCTCACTCACTATAAGGCGCTGGTAAGCCGTATGTTTGTTTGCTCTAGGTGCCTTGAAATAGGAAGTGGTATTTCCCACTGAGGACCCATGAGGTAGGATGAGAGTGGGTATGAGACATGGACAGCAATGCCATGAGAGTGGGTATGAGAATCGTCTTTCGCATTCACTCACTCATTCTACTTGTCTTTCGCCCCATTCCCCCTCTCCTTTCCTGTGTTGCAGTCAAAACTGACGCCTGAAGAGGCGAAGCAACAATTCCTGACGATAATCCAAGCCCTTCCCTACGGCGAGTCCTCCTTCCACCACTTGAGGTGCATCCAAGGCCCCATTGAAATGCTGCCGAAGCGAGTGCTGATCGGCATCAACAGTCACGGAGTAAGTTGCCCCACTCTACCATGACATTGCTGGCCCCCCCACACATACACTCCTGTCTTCATGGCATTGCTGACACCCCCTACACACGCACGTCTTCATAACCTTGCTGTCCCCTCCACCCACACACCCCCCTTTTCACAGGCGCACTTCTTCCAGCCGGTTTCAAAGGAGTACCTCCATTCAGCAGGGCTGCGCGACATCAAGACGTTTGGCAGTGACGGCGCCGTGCTGCACCTTGAAATGCGCGTGGTGGACTCGATGCACGTCTTCCTGTTCGAGACTTCCCAAGGCGAGGAGATCTGCCTTGCCATGCAGACGCACATCAATGACGCAGAGGCCCGCCGCCTTGCCAGGCGAAGAGTGCGCCTACAAAACGAGCTGATGCTGGGGGATGGGGGTGGAACGGCTGGGGATGGGGGTTCAGAGGGGGGAGGAGTCGGACTACGAGCATCGGACGAAGGAGGAGTTGTCGGAGAGCGCCTTCGTGCACATTGAACAGGTGGAGACAATTGTCTGTCTGTCGTGTAGAAGCACGAGGAGGAGAGACGGGCTCGGTAGCACGGGCAGCAATAAAAGTCTGTTGAATGACGCCAGGACACAACATCTTGAGTCGCAGGTGAGTTTAGTCAACTTCAGAGTTGGTTGGCATGTGTTAAGGCAGCAACATTGCCTTGGCAGCACGGGCAGCACCATGAGTCTGCTGAATGACTCAAGGGCAGCATTGGAATCACAGGTGAGTGTGTGGTCAGATAACGGACAAGAACAGCGGGCGAGCAAAGGAGCAGTCACAAATATGCAGCGCCGCAAAGCCCCTCCATTCTCATGTGAGTTTTGCTTGCCCGGGCTCGCCTGCTTCTCGCTGATTCAAACCATGTTATCTAGCTTAAGGAGGTGCAGTTGGCATAGAAGGCGGTGCGGATTGGAGCAGAGAAGCAGGCAAAGTTTTAAGGTCACACACCTTTTGTCCCCTTCATTCTGTTTCGTTTGCCTCACTCTGTTGTGTGTGGGATTGTTGTCAGCTGAAGGAGGGTGCAGGAGGAGCTGAAGACGTGGTTGGTAGAAAGTGCAGCGAAACAGGCAAAGCTTTGAATCGCACACCTTTCTGTTACGTTTTTCTCGCGTGCTGTTGTGTGGGGTGGTTGCCAGCTGAAGGAGGTGCAGGAAGAGCTGAAGGCGGGGGGCAGGTGGGCGGAGGAGCAGGCGCAGTGATGCAGGTGTGTTTCCTTCCTCCCCTTGTCATTTCTCATCTGCCCGCCAGATCAAGACATTGGAGCTGCGCTTCTCAAAAGAGAGGGCTGAGCTGGAAGCCAGGCTGGCGACCGCCGAGCAGCGATGGAAGGAGAGCCGGGCGGCGGAGGCCCAGCTGAGGGAGGAGGTGAGAGTGAAGGAGGCGCAATCGAGGCATCTGGAGGAGTTGTTCAAGGAGTTGGATGAGCTGAGGGAGACGAAGAAGGAGATGGAGAGAAATCAGGTGGAGGATTTGGAGTTGATACAGCGGCAGCGCAAGCAGATAGCCGAGCTGGAGAAGGCGTATAAGGAGGAGATAGTGCTGCGCAAGCGGTACTATAACATGGAGGGTGAGTGGGCCAAGGCTGGGCTGGCCATGGGTGCTTGTGCATGGGTTTGGCTCTCTGGTGCTCTGAACCTCTTCCCTCTCCTGTTCCCTGTCCCCACTCGTTTCCTTTGCATACGCCTAGATATAAAGGGGCAGATCCGAGTGTATGGCCCTTGTGATGCCCTGAACCCCCCCGTCGTTTCCCTTCCCCATCCTCAACCCTGTCCCTTCCGTGCACTCCTCTCTCCTGAGCCAATCCCCATCCCTGTCCCCGCTGGCCTTTCTTTCCTTTTCCGCCTCCCCTCCCCATGCGTGCAGACATGAAGGGGAAGATCCACGTGTATGCGAGGTCGCGGCCGCTGAGTGGCAGGGAGCGGGGCGAGGGGCAGCACATGGTGCTGGAGATGCCGGACGAGTTCACACTGCAGCACCCCAACACCCTCAAGGAAGGGGGGGCGCCCAAGTCCTACCAGTTTGACCGCATCTTTGACCACACCGCCAGTCAAGAGGCGGTGTTTGAGGACACACGGGTAAGTGTGCTGTCTTGGAATTGGCTTTTGGGTGGCATAAGGGGAGGATTCGGTTGGTAGGCTGCATTTGTCATTGCTCGAAAGGAGGCAGCAGAGCAGCACAGAACACACCTGTTGGAGGCGCACTATAGAAACACGCCTTGCCCCCTTATCTCTGTGGACCCCTGCCCCCTTCGTTCCCTTGTTTTCTCTTCTTTCCCTTTGCACACCCCCTTTCCCCTCCTTACATTACCTGATCCGGTCGCCCATGGACGGGTATAAAGTGAGCATCCTCTTGCTGCCTTCTCTGCCCCTCCATCCACCTGCTTCTCGCCCTCCACCCTCCTTCCCACCCTGCAGTTCTTGATCCAGTCGGCCATTGACGGTCACAAGCATCTCCTTGTCAAAACGCCCCTCACATTCTCACCCTGTGGAGCCCTGCCCCCTGCCCACTGCCCTCTTCCCCATTCCCCTCCTTCCCCCCCTGCAGTACCTAATCCAGTCGGCCATTGATGGGTACAACGTGTGCATATTCTCGTACGGGCAGACGGGCAGCGGCAAGACGCACACCATCCATGGCACGGACGAGGACCCCAAGCTCACACCGCGTGCCATGCAGGAGCTCTTCGACAGGCGCACCAAGGACGCAGGGAACAAGAGCTACAAGCTGAAGGTGAGTTGCTTTGTTGCCGCTAGCATTAGCACTGCTGCAGATGCCACTCCACCAGGTCACGCTGCCTGCACGACCTGCTGCTGCTACTGCTGCTGCTGTTGCTGCTCATTCTGACTGGTAGGGTTCCTCCGATGCTGTCACTCTTGTTCATTGTTGCTCCCTTTCTGCTTACCCCCGCGTCCCATCCTCCGTCTTTGGCAGGTGTACATGGTACAGCTGTATCAGGACAAGCTGGAGGACCTCCTGCTGCCGAAGAATGCCCCCACGCGGAAGCTGGAGCCCAAGATGGACAGCAAGGTATGTACTGTGTGGGTGGGTAGCATCACACGTGGCGCCGTGAGCAGTGGTGTTCAGCAGGATTCTATTCTGTTGTGCCTGTGACTCAAAAGTCACAACATGTGACTGGCGCCATGAGCACTAATGTGCACCAGGATTCTATTTCCTAGTTCCTGCACTTGCAGTCTCGTGCCAAGCCCCGTGATCCAGCTCGCTCATATCCAGCCACAAACTCTGCACCACTCTCAACCGCTCAGTACCCTCCTGATGTGTTTCGTGTTATTTCTCCCCCCTCCCCAGGCACAATGGTGGTGTAAACCACGACTCATTGAGGTGCAGTACCTGGCAGTGCTTGCCATGCACCACTCTCAACCCCCCTGTGATCTGCGCACATCCCTGTGTTGTACTTATTTCCCCCCTCAACAGGGCATGGTGATGGTGATGGTGTTGAACGCGACTCTCTTTAAGGTGCCGTGCCTGTCGCAGCTGGAAGTAGTGGTGCAGAGGGGCATGGAGAGGCGTGCAGTAGCCGTTCTGCGCCGCTTCTAATTGCTCGCCACTCTTAACCCCTCTTCATTAACCCGTGTCTACTGTGTGCATGTACCCATGTTCCCCAAGGCATGGTGGTTGTGGAGAATGCAACGCTCGTTGATGTGGACTCCCTGTCGGAGCTAAAGACAGCGGTGCAGGGGGGGATGGAGAGGCGCAAAGTGGCTCCCACAAAGATGAACGCCGAGAGTTCAAGGTCGCACCTTGTGCTCTCCATTATCATGGAGACAACCGACGTGCACACCAACGACGTGAGCCGCGGAAAGGTGCGTGCTGATGGGGTGTGCGGCGTGCGTGTGTGAACAGCTGTGCACATGAGTGTGTGCGTTAATTTCTCTTGTGAATCACAACTAGCTGACGCACCCGCAACTTCTCCCCACCTCTAGTTACCCCTATATCCCTGTTGTGTCCCTCGTCAGCACTTCCTGTATTTTACCTCCTCCCTCCTCAGCTGCACTTGACCATTGTGGAGCTAGCAAGGTCAGAGAGAGTTCAACTTTTTAGGCTACCTGTTAATCTTACCTATGCTAAGCCCGTGTACTCCACCCCTTGCCTCTACTATTTCCCAATCACCACCTCTTCCCCTTCCCCCCCCCCCCCCCCCCCCCCCCCCTCTCAATTCTTCCAGCTGTCCTTTGTGGACTTGGCGGGGTCGGAGAATGCGAAGAAGTCGGGGTTAGAGGGAGAGCGGCTGAGGGAAGCCCAGTCAATCAACTTGTCGCTGTCAGCACTGGGGAACGTGATCAGTGCGCTGGCTTCAGGCCCCGGCGGGCACATCCCGTACCGCAGCCACAAGCTCACGATGCTCATGAGCGACTCGCTGGGGGGCAACGCCAAGACCCTCATGCTTGTCAACGTCTCCCCAGCCCAAGGGAACCTGTCAGAGACACACAACTCACTCACGTGAGTTCTTGGAGGTTGGGGGTCTCATGTCAGGAGGGGATGCACTTGGCTTGTGTGTCCCGCTTACTTCTTCCAATCCCTCCCTCCCCCTCCCTTCTCGCCCTCCCCTTCGTCCTCCCCTCCTCTTCTCTCCGTTTGTGTGTGTGGGCAGGTATGCGACGCGGGTTCGATCGATCACGAACGACGCATCCAAGAACGTGGCACACAAGGAGGAGCAGTGGTTCAAGAACAGGATAAGGTACTGGAAGCAGAAAGCAGGGGCGAGCCCGGAGAAGGAGGAGCTGGATGAGGTCAAGGACAAGAGGACTGTGGTTAAGAAGGTGCGGCTTGGTGGGAAGCAAGGGGGCAAGGAGTAAGGGCAGATGTGGGTCAACGCGGTACATCTTTTGTGATGCATCAAGAATTTTGAGGATAACGGTTCTGTCGTGGAGAAACACAACAGTGGCGAACAAGACACATAGCGAGACTGATCGTTGCTGTTATTTGTGTAAGCGAAGTAGCAGCCCAGCTTTATACGGTACTATGATAGACTTCAGGAAAGAACCTTACATGGACAACATTAGAATGGACACTATCAACGGTAATTTTGCACAGCAGAGTTCTTTCAAACAAATCACCCCACAACCAGCGCATTTGGCGCAAGCTCGTCTCAACCTAACATGTATGTATGCCTCACAAAGCACTAATTTCTGTCAGAGAGTGTCAACTGCAGGAGAGCAGGCCGAGGACATAGTTGTAAGGGAAGAGAGAGAGAGAGAGGTGACGAGTTGAGCCGCTGCAGGCACAGTGGAGCAAGATCGCTGCTAACTAGATGCAACTCAGGATGCCATGAGGAAGGTAGAATGCCCTCTCAGGTTAATCCGCACCCAAAACTCCTTTTAAGGCACCTTGGATTGAAACTGCGTTTCCTGCTGGACAGAGCTCAAAACGCCATGTGGAATGTAGAGTGGTCTGCACGGGCGATTGCCACATGGGGGCATACAGAGTGGGGAGCCCATCACGCATTGTTGGAGACGAGGTGCGCTCGAGCAGAAGAAAAACTCGGGGCCGCTCAGCTGGCTCACGCAGACGGACAGGAAGTTGTTGAGGAGGGCGCGCACCTGCTGCACTCACGACTGGTGGGAGCAAAGGGAGAGGAGCAGGAGACAGAGGGCTGTTGGGAAGGAAATAGATGAAAGAGGGGGCAAAGATGAGAAAACATAGAGGTCAAGCATGCACGGAGGGAAATGAGGCAAAGAAGAAGACAAGGGGGGCCGAAGCAAGCTTGCTCACTTAAACCAGCAGCAGCAGGTCCCTCAAGTCTCGCTTGTCAATTTGGAGTTGGTGGCGTGGGGAGTTAGTGGCGTGGGGAGTTGGTGGCGCAGACACGAGCAGAAGGACAACGAAAGAAGCAGAGGCGGAAAAGGGGGGGCCGACTGCTGCGGGGGTGTCAAGAAAGAAAAACAACAGCGAAAACTTTTCGTTATGACGCGACAACGATTCTGCCTTACTGAACGTTACTTACAAGTTGCATTTCATCTGACGTAGTTGATAGCGGACCACTCAGCAGTGGCACAACGGACAGTCCAAGAGGCCCTAGGACTCGTGAGCTGAGATCCTGAGCACACAGTTTGAACTCATTGTCGTGTGGCGCACCCGCTGCCGCTGAGCACGCTGTTGTGTGAAGAGAACACAAGCAAGGGGGCGGACAGGTGGAAAGTAGGGAGGGGATGTGGGAGTTGAGAGATCCAGCGGACTCTCTATCAGCGGACTGCCAGCAAAATCGGTACATCAGGAAAGATCTATCCTTTGACCGTTCCCCACCGCCCATCCCCCTTTCGCCATCGGCCACCCCCTTTTCCCCATCGCCCATCCCTTTTTCCCACCGCCCACCGCCCTTTCCCCGTCGCCCATCCCCCTTTCCCCATCGTCCATCCCTTTTTCCCCACCGCCCATCCCCCATTTGACACACCCCATACCTTATCGTCCCATCCCCCATGCCTCATCCCCCATGCCCCATGCCAAATCCCCCATTTCCCATCACCCATCGCCCCATCCCCATGCCCCATGCCCCATCCCCCATGCCCCATGCCCCATCCCCCGTCCCCCATGCGTCATCACCCATCGCCATCCCCCATGCGCCATCACCCATCACCATTCCCCATTCGCCATCACCCATCGCCATCCCCCATGCGCCATCACCCATCGCCATCCCCCATGCGCCATCACCCATCGCCATCCCCCATGCGCCATCACCCATCGCCATCCCCCATGCGCCATCACCCATCGCCATGCCCCATGCCTCATTGCTCAATGCCCATTCCCCACGGCCTGGGCATCACCCAAGCACGCCACCTGGCCTCACCGGTGTCCGCCGGCCGCCCTTCACCCCATGCACCGCGCGTCACTCGCCGTCGCTACGCCGCACTCCCCGCGCGCGCCAATGCTGCGCCACCTGCGAACGCGGAGCACGCCGGTGCGACGTGCCACGCAGGAGGCTTGAGGGCGGAGTGGGTGTGCGGGCAGCCGTGGGTGGAAGGGGAGGGGGAGGAGGGGCGGGAGAGGAGGGGCGGGAGAGGAGGGGTGGGGGAGGAGGGGCGGGAGAGGAGGGGCGGGAGAGGAGGGGCGGGGGAGGAGGGGCAGGAGAGGAGGGGCGGGGGAGGAGGGGCGGGGGAGGAGGGGCGGGAGAGGAGGGGCGGGAGAGGAGGGGCGGGGGAGGAGGGGCGGGGGAGGAGGGGCGGGGGATGAGGGGCGGGGGAGGAGGGGCGGGGGAGGAGGGGCGGGAGAGCAGGGGCGGGAGAGGAGGGGCGGGAGAGGAGGGGCGGAAGAGGAGGGGCGGGAGAGGAGGGGCGGGAGAGGAGGGGCGGGAGAGGAGGGGCGGGAGAGGAGGGGCGGGAGAGGAGGGGCGGGAGAGGAGGGGCGGGAGAGGAGGGGCGGGAGAGGAGGGGCCGATGGCATCCATCTCCGCCTGCCCAACCGCTTGTTGCTCGCCAGGCTCAGCCGGAACCTCGCGATGGCCACCACATGCTCGCCGCGGACCTGCAGGCATGGGCTCCGTGAGGCTCTCATCTGAAGCCCCCAAAGCTGAGAGTGCGTGGGGAGGAGAATAGCGGAAAGGAGAGAAGAGGCGAGGAGGGAAGAGGAACCAGACTGGTAAACAAGTGGCGGAGAGGAGCAGGAATAGAAGACTGGGGAGGAATGGGTAGTGGACAGGCACTAGGCAAGTGCGGACCACAGTGAGTTGCAGAGTCTGAAGTGAACAGTAGAGGAAAGGTGTATGTGCATGTGTGACTGTGTGTGGTGTGATGTGATGTGATGTGTGAGAAGTGGAATTCTCACCTAAAGCCCCTAAAGCTGAGAAAGTGCGTGGAGAGGAGAATAGCGGAAAGGAGAGGAGAGGCGAGGAGAGGAGAGGCGAGGAGAGGAGATGAGAGGAGAGGAGAGGAGAGGAGAGGAGCGCACCTGTGGGAGGGCATCCAGTGCTGCAGCAGTTTGAGCATCTTGGCGCGCAGGTAGGGGTTCTTGATGGAGAGCGGCGATGCCATGAGCATCACTATGAAGCTCACAAACTCGCCCTGCTCCGTGCCACACACGCGCGCACGCGGATGGGGGTGGAGAGAAGGCGGGAACGGGGGATGGGGAATTGGGAACGAGAAGGGGAAATTTGAATTGGGGAAAGGGGAAGGCGGAAGGGGGAAGCAGGGAAAAGGGGAAGGGGACGAAGGAGAAGGGGGAGAGGAGGCACCAGAGGATGAGAGGTCGGCTGGCACGAACCATGACGTCACTCAGTGCAAGCGAACCATGACGTCACTCAGTGCAAGCGAACCCCTCTCAGGTGACAAACAAGTCACTCCAGAGTGCATCCTTCTCTTCGTAGTGAACTGCCACACAACATTCAAGCGCCCATGTAAACACGGATGAATGCACTGCAACAGACATGCACCCTCAAGCTCCACCAATCCACTCAATCGCACCGCACCCACAACCATCAAACGCCCATCCCATCCCATCCCATCCCATCCCATCCCATCCCATCCCATCCCATCCCATCCCATCCCATCCCATCCCATCCCATCCCATCCCATCCCATCCCATCCCATCCCATCCCATCCCATCCCATCCCATCCCATGCCATCCCAGTCCTTGGGCGTGGGCGCAGGCAGCCGCAGGTGGAAGCCCCCCCAAAGCACGAACCACACCACCATGAGGTGGTGGGGCCGCACTGCCTCATGTGGTAGGTACCTCGTGGTCCTGGTGGGTGGGCGAGATGAAAGGTGGGAGAGAGACACGGCCAGGGGTAAGTCCAAATGAATCAGCAGGCAGGAGCGACAAAAGCACAACTGCAAGCGTTTCCTCTGTCGGGTCAACGCAGCTCCCCTGGAGCAAGCGCCACTGAGCGAGCAGCGAGCGGAGGGCAGAGCAGAGCAGAGCGGGCGGGCTGGCTGACCTGCAGGGCGGATTCGTGGCAGAGAGTGTACTTCTTGGCCTGGTACACGCGGCGCATCTGGAGCAGCACGCAGCGAGCAGGGAGGGGAGCAGGGCGGTGGTCAGTGGAGGGCGGGCGGACCTGCAGGGCGGCCTCGTGGCAGAGAGTGAACGCCTTGGCCTGGCCCGCGCGCGCCTGCTGCTGTGCTATGCGCCCCTCCCGGTCCGCTGGCTCGCCCGGCCCCCTCATCTCCTCCAACATCCGCAGCGCCTCCCAGTCGTCCCTGCCCATTCTCTGCCACCGTGCAACACATGCATCATACACACCACACACACACACACACACACACACACACACACACGGTGGCACGCAAGGGACGAAGCAAGATGAATGGCACATCCCACAGATTCCGCGCCCCTATAAGAGAACTCTGACAAGCCCCACAGATCGTAAGACGTCCCTGCAACAAACCAGCAGACCCCTCTTCCCCCCTTTCCCCCCTCCCTGCAGTGCGCACCTGTTGAATGTGAGTGAGGTCCTGGAAGACGCGCAGCAGGCCCAGCTTGAGCACACGTGCCGTCATGAGGAAACACTAGCAGATGAACCCAAACCGCTCCGCTCCCCCCCCACCACCGCCACTACCACCACCGTTGCTGCCACTCCCAGCGCCAGCGCCAGCAGCCCTGTCCGGTGCTGCAGATGCACCTGCACCAGCCCCTGCACCGCTCTGCACCGGCCCGGCTGCTGCTGAAATCCCTCCGGGGGACCCCCCTTGTGTGGCTGAGGCTGGTGCTCCTCCTGCTCCCTGTGGCGCTGGGCTTGCAGGAAGGACTGCTGGCGTGCTGGATTGCGCTGGTCCACCCATGAAGCCAGAAAGTGCAGGGGACTGACTGAGCATATCGTGCATAGCAGGGGGCAGAGGGCAGCGCGGAGAAGGCAGATGAGAGAGCGGATAGGTGAGAGAAGGGATTGGGGAGTGGGGAGTGGGGATTGAGCAGAGAGAACAGAGAAAGAAGCGCGACGATACAGCACATAGAGAGGGACACTGAAGCAGAAGTGGCAAGGGGGGAAGGGGAGGGAGGGCAGGGCGCAGACCTGAAGTGGAGTCGACCTGAGCTCTGCAGCACGAAGGCGGGGTCGATGCGATCGGCCTTGGAGCAGGAGAGGTCCAGGCCAGGAAGGGCTCGCAGAGCTTCAGCAGCAGCGGCAAGCCAAGTTTGCAATGTCGATTTGAGGGGTTGGATGCAGGAGGGGAGGGGGATGAGGGAGAGAGGGTGACAGAGGGTGTGGGAAGGAGGGGGAGGCGAAACTTTAAGGCAAGTCTGCACGGGCAGCTATGGTGTCCCCTGAAAGTATCCCCATCTTTCCCCTATTTCCTCCCACAACCGACCCCTTTCCTCCCCACTCCATCCCACCACACCCAACAGCCCCTTCACCACACCCCCCTTCCCCCTGGGCCCTTCCTTCCCCCACCCCAACCTACCCAACCCCCCACCTCTCCCAAGCAGCCATCGACCTACCTGCAGGGCAGCGCGGTTGGCGATGGTGCGGATGAGTGCAGCGAGGTGCTGGAGGGCCTTGTGGCGCGTGAGCGGGGCGTTGAGCAGCACGCGCAGCACCTCGTCTCGTCTCGTGCAGCGCCGCCAGCAGCTGCCGCGATGTGACGCCGACCGCACCGCCACAAAGTAACTCCGCTTCGCCTTGCGCCGCTCCGACCGCTTCGAGAACAGCTGCTGGCTGCCCACAGCGCGCACGGGGGTGCGAGGGGCGGGGGAGGGAGGGAAGGAGAGAAGAGAGGGGGGAAGGGAGGAAGTTGGGGGGAAGAACGGGAGGGATTGGGAGTGACAGACATGGAGACTGGAATTTGGATGAGAGGACCGAGGGCGGACGTCATGTCCCATGTTCCAACCCCATGGAGGGAGGGAGCGGAGCGAGGGAGGGTGGGAGGGAGTGGACACCCAAGGGGTTGGAACATGGAACATGATCAGGACATGCAGGGAAACAAGCATATTGACATGCAATGACATGCAATCCCACAACCTCTCCTCCCCCCTTTTCTCTTCCACCTCCACACACAGCACAGCCCAAATCCCTCTTCCTCCCCTCCCTTGCCCCTCCCACCTCCCTCCTTCCCCCTCATCCCACCCTGCCAAGCCTGCCCTTCCCCCCCCAACCGTACAATGAGCACGGGCTGCATGATGTCGGCCAGCTCCTCCCCTTCAAACCGCTGCACCAGCTGCGCCAGGAACCCCGCCGGAAAAAGGCTCCCCGCCGCCTCCCCCACGCCCACGCCCGTCCCGCCCGCGGCGGCGAGCAGCAGCGCGAGCGGCTCCCCCGCGATGAAGTCCGTGAGCGGGGACGAGCGCCGGTGCGCGCGCGGACGCGCGGGCGAGGGGAACATGTCCGCGTGCTGCAGGGAGAGGCCCGCGTAGGAGATCAGCAGGTCCTTGGCGCACTGCGCGGAGGCACGGACGGAGTAAGCACGGGGGAAGAGGTTGGGCCGGAAAGGGGGAAGGAGGGGAAATCTGGCAGTTAATAACCGGTATTTGGTAGCTGCCAGTGAGGAGAAGTGGTTAAGTGGTTAGACTGGAAATCAAATGGAGCAAGCAGCAAGCGGCGGCATAAAGCAGGAAGCCGCGGGCAGCAGCGAGGGCGCGCACCTTGAGTGCTTGCAGCACCATCCTGAGTTTCTCCGGGTCCTTCAAATTCGCCACCTTGCGCCCCTCCTCCACCGCGCACCCATAGCTAAGAGTGAGGCGATGGCGGACTAGAAGGGAATGCGCGGGGTGAGACGGAGAGGCGATGGCATTGTAGTTGCTACGGCAAGAATCAGAATGGGAGGAGAGGCGGGGTGGGTGGGAGTGGGAGGTGATTGTTGGGGTTTGGGGAAGTTGCAAAAAAGGGAGCAGTACTGTACACTACTAGTGTCACGTGAAACGGACGTACACACGTCTATCATAAGGGTGCGTCAGATCCGCTACAAAGTGATTTGGCTGCAAGTTTGGCTGCAAATTTGTCGCCCTTTTGGTCGACTCACATTTTCGCCAAAGTCGACTGAATGGTCGAATGCTAAACCGACCACCATCCAGCCACATTTACAAGGTTATGAAATCTGACAGATTTGGTGGCCGATTTACAGGCCGGATTGCACAAGAGTCGGATTTGCAGGTCGTAAAGTTGGCCGGATTGTGCGACGGTATCGCACGTATTGTTACTGAAGTGACACAACCGCTATTGTGCGCCGTGCGAGTCGTCCTTGTGACACGTCGAGTCAGTTGGGTATGTTGGCCAAGTCGCACAGGTACTGTATCGCTGACGAGTCGACAATGTGGTCGACTTGTGATTCGTTTGCACGTCGGAAAGTTGTCGACCGCTAAACCAGCCATCAAAGCGGCCATCAAATTTTTAGCAAGTGGCCGGATTGTGCGAAATTGACGAAATACCTTACAAATGTCGTGAATGTGTAACCTTCGCTAGATCCGGCCGGCCGGATTGATCCGGCCAACGGATCTGACGCACCCTAAGAGTAGGAGCCCCCATTAAAGCAGAAGCTTTAAACTAGAAACGATTAAATTGACTATAGACAATACATCTAAAAAACAAGAAATAGAAAGTGAGCATAGACTATTAAATGTTATCTAACATCCAAACGAAACAAGCAAAATATGCGAATTTGATCACGATACGAACGAGCAACATTTTCATTTTTGCACTTCCATCTCTCACAAAACATTTAGAACTATGAATGAAACTGACTACGCAACCCTTCCAACGAGTCTTGTTTCATTTTTTGTCAGCATTTGTACATACTTACATTAGAATTCCTTCTTATGGTATTATATTCATGGTATCGGTTCAGCGCAAACGAGTACACTTCCGCGGAGCTCCCGCGCAAACTCAAAAAGTGCGTTGCGCAGGTGCAGAATGGGTCGCGGGGATTGGCTCCCCCTCAATCTCGAAGGTGCGCAGTCCCGGGCTCCGAAAGTCGGAAACTTGTCAGTCACTAGCGGAAACAGCACGGTTACCCTTCGCAGAAGCAACTCATTTTGGTCGCACAATACTTTTCTGTTTTCGTGAAGAGTTTCAACTCCTCGTTAATTCTTTCGGTCGCGCCGCTGACTCCATCACCTTCCGCAGTTTGCCCCCCTTTTGGCGGAAAACCTTGGCAGACTGTCAGCCGCCTGTTAGCACATGGCCAGGCGGCGTGCCCTCTTGGGCTTGCCGAATCCTTCGTTGCCTCTCCTCACCTCCCCTCCCCGCTTCGCTGCTTCACTTCACTTGCCTCCAGCCAGGCAATGTTGGAAACCGTTCTGCAATCCTTCACACATCACATCCAAGCTCATGTATAGTTCCCCAGCTCGATTTTCCTTGGCTTCCTTCACGGCGTTTCTCTTAGCTAACTCGGTCTGTCCGTCCGTGGCACTTCCTCAGTAGTTACGGAGCCCGCTTAGTCTCACGGTGACGTGTGCATAAAACTAGCAGTTTCTTTAAAATCAAGCTTAGGCTTCAGATTGAAACGTTCTACTTTGTCAACTGGACAACATTCACATCGTTTCCTGGACGACCGGCCGCTAGAATGCTCAGTCATCGTCTGGATCTTGGTCAGCGACCATAAACTCGTTAATCTCATCGAATTTAGAAGCTTCAACGAGATTTCATCGATTTACTTTCCATTCAGCTCTCATTCTCGACGTCAGCTCCGTTTTCTGAGATATCATTCTGTGTCAAGCTCGCAACCTCTCGCGGCCTCAATTCGACACATCTCGCCTCCTCAAATCGCCACCTCTCGCCACTCTCAAATCGCCACCTCTCGCCACTCTCAAATCGCCACCTTTCGCTGCCTCAAATCGCCACCTCTCGCGGATACAAATCGCCACCTCTCGCGGATTCAAATCGTCACCTCTCGCGAATTTGAATCGCCACCTCAGGAAGCCTCACATCGCTGCCTCTCGCGGCCGCTCATCCTGTTCCGGCAGCCCTTACCTCGCCTACCTCACCGCTGAACTTCATCCCCATCGCACACACCAAGAACTCGGGCCCCGCCTCGTCGCCCCTCGAAGCCTCGCCTCGCAACGCCAGGGTGCTACCTCTAGCCACCGTCAGCCGGCACCGTCGCTCCAAACCAAACCAACCAAGCTAGGTGCGTTTAATTCATCCCATGCGTGTCTCCGCCACCGATAACCTACTTTTCCCCCCCATCCATTCCACTCTGCCAGCAACCCTCGCCTCGAACCACCCATACAGTCATGCAATCATGCCACTTAAATCCTTTGACACATTATCCTTCCAACCCTTGACATTGCCCTCCATCCCCTGGCCTACCCTGCCATCCCCTTCCAAAAGTGCGCCATACCATTGCATGATGGACGGATCGACACACTCATCGAGGGCAGGGACGGTGCTTCCGATTGCAGAGAGCAGTCAAATGAAGACAACGGTGTTTCTATCGGACAATTCATCCGCGGAGGTGGGGTACGATGGGTCCACCACCGCTGCGGAGCTCTTGGAGGTCCGTAAACGCATGCGAACTCAGCGCGAGAGTTTTTAGATCCTGTATTTTTGGCGCCTACACCTCTGCTCTGCCCTTTGTGACGGTCGATGCTTCTGTGGTATTGGATGCAGAGGGTCGCGGGCATCATACAGTTGAAGCATTTCCAGACGTTCGGCTTCTTCGAACACCGGAAGTCCACCGCAGTCGTCAACAACTCGGAAATCATTACCAGTGAGTCTCGCACACCACACCTGGTTCGTGCTATGCGCTGGCCGTGGGGAGTGGCGCTGACGGCGTTAGTGCGACGCAAGTCACGGCGCTGCTACTGCAGGACTACCTGGGACCGCGCTGGTTCATCCCCAAGCAGGTGGGTGGACTGCTGGGGTGCGCTGGATAGCTCCCAAGCAGCTGGGCTGGGTTCCTGGCTCTACGTGGTAGAGTTTACATGTGAGCTTCCTCAAAGAAGAGGCTGCTTTTGTTGCGTGGGTAATTTGTCCCCTGCGCCAATCACATGCTTATGATGCCTATATGTTGCCTCCCTTCCTCCCTGCACTTTCATCTCATTTTTTGATGATTTGCTTTTCCGTCTGTTAAGCAGATGACTACATCAGCATTCACGACTCCGCTTATATACGGGACACGGTGGCCGAGCTGATGGGATTCCGGGAGACAGGCGAGCGGGCCGTGCAGAGGCGACTCGTGTGCCGCAAGCGATATTTCCTGGAGAACGAGGAGGCGATAGCAGACCCCATGTTCATCCGACTGTGCTACCACCAAGCGCAGCAGGATTATCTGGAGGTCAACTTCCCCACGCCCAAGGATTTGGCGGCGCATCTCGCAGCGCTCCAGGTCGTTGTGGACTTCGGCTCACTGCCTGCGCATCAAGTGGAGTGAGTTCACCGGGAGGGGTGTCATTGTATATGCCAGTCAGATGCGCCATGGTATCTCCTCACACCCTCATATCTCCCTCATATTTCTCTGAATTCCACCTTCCCTCCCTCTTTCCCCTTCCCTCCCTCCCTCCCTCCCTCTCTCCCTCCCTCCCTCCCTCCCTCCCTCCCTCCCTCCCTCTCTCCCTCCCTCCGTCTTGTCATTCTCTTTCTCCCAGGGACTGGCAAGCGCAGGTGCGGCAGAGGATCCCGCTGCAGTTCCGGGCCACAATGGAGAAGCACGATTGGGCCAAGGACGTGCTCAAACGCCACAAGCCGTTGGTGAGCTTTCACCCTGTTCCAAGGCACCCTCTCCTGTCGTCATTCTTTTAACCTGCTAATTTGCCCCTCTCCTGTCTCAAAGTGCCTGTAACATGGAGGTGCAGTTCCCTAATTTCTTCCAACATGATTATGTGTTCCAGGCAAAGCTAACAGCTGAACAGGCGATGCAGCAGGCGCTGAAGTGGTTCCGAGCCCTCCCGTATGGCGGGTCAGTTTTCTTCAACGTGGGGCGCATTCATGACCCCACCAATTCACTGCCGGAGCGAGTGCTCATGGGCATCAACGAGCGCGGGGTGAGTCACCCACCCCACTGTCAACGATTCCTGCGTTGGCTAGAATAACTTTCCACATGTAGGATCATTGTCCTGTGGGTTCAGTTTTCTGGCGGAGGAGAGCGAGAGAGAGGGAATAGCCCTCTGCCCTTAGCCCTAACCCTTTTGCTTGAGCCTTTTATGAAGGCCATGAGGGCATTCCTTCCTCATTATTTCGGTGGCACGCGCCATCAACTCTTGTGTACACACTCCCTCCCTCCACAGGTGCATTTCTTCTGCCCCATCTCAGAAGGATATCGCTTTTCAAGGGAGCTGTGTAGCATCAGGCAGTTGTGCAGCAGCCCCACTTCAGTGTCCCTGGAGTTGCTCTTCATGGGCTCGTTGCAGGTCTTGCATTTTGAGACCACGCAGGGCGACCAGATCTGCCGCACCATCTATATGCTCGTCCATGATGCCACTGCGAATCTCTGTGCTAGGCAGAGAGCGCAGCAGCAAAACGCACTAATGCATGGGCAGGGGCAAGGGCAGGAGCAGGGGCAGGGGCAGGGGGCGCACCCTATGGGGGAGTATGAGCAGCGTGCCAAGGAGTTGTCGGAGGAATTGAGAAGAGCGGTCATGCACATTGAGCAGGTAGGAGGGCACATTGAGCGGTCGTGCATCTCCCTGTCCCCCTGTTGCATGTCCATGTCATGCTACTCCTGTCTGCACTGCCTGCTCTCTCATCCTACTCTTCCAGCCACTAGAGAATCTGTTCCGCTTATGAGTACGTTTCGTTTTGCCTTGCGTCTAGGAAACTTGCAACCTTGCGCCATTATCTCACGCTGCCTCAACCTTGATTCCAACTCCTTCCTCCCCCGCACGTCTCTGTGCGTCTTCCTTCTCCCTACTCCCCGTCTCACGCCTTTGTTCTGCCTGGCAGCTGAAGGTGTTGGAGCTGCGTTCATCAGCAGAGCGGGATGGGCTAGCAGCTAGCCTGGCGATCGCGGAGCAGCGCTTGGGGGTGAGCCGGGCAACAGAGGCCCAGCTGAGGAAGGAGGTGAAGGGGAAGGGGAAGGAGGCGCAGCCAGAGCACCGGGAGGGTGTCTGCAACGAGCTGGAGGAGCTGAGAACGAGGAACGAGGTGAGTGTTGTCATGTGTGGGTTAAATGCATGCTGTTTGCGACTGATTGCTGTGTGCGTAGTGTAAGAGGTGAGAGGGAGAGAGAGGCGAAAGCATCCGGAGGAGATGCAACAGGCGGAGATGATTTCTCGTCGCGCACGTGTGTTGCAGGAGTTGGAGCGGAGCTTGGTGAAGCATGAGGAGGAGGTAAATCAGCTGAAGGAGGCGTACGACAAGGAGGTTGTGGAGTGCAAGAAGGCCTGGAACAAGCTGGAGGGTGAGTGGTGCACTGGGGCTCTCAGCTGCCTCTCAGTATCTTGGCCCTGGGTTGGGTGTGCCTTGAGCATAGACTGGGTGGTGGTGCTTGCAATTCTAACAGGAGATTGTGCATCTCAAGGCATACGAGGAGGAGATTGTGGACCACAGTGGCGGCCGCTTGCACCCGCCGCATCCCCATAACCCCCCCTTCTCGTCCCTGACCCCCCTTCCCCATCTCTAACCCCCCCTCCCCCGCGCCCAAACGTGAAGGGCAAAACTTGCAAGTGATGGTGGCTGCTGAGCAGCAGAGAGCGACCTGCCGAGCTGTATGGTGCCCTGAGCCCCCTTCGTCCCCCTTTCTCTGCCCCCACTCTCTTCCCTTTGTGCACATGCAGACATGAAAGGCTAGATCAAAGTGTGTGCGTGGTGGCAGCCATTGAGCCGCTGGAAGCGGCCTTTTGTAGCTGTATGGTGCCCTGAGAACGTTCCCCGTCCCCCTCCCCGTCCCCACCCATCTCTCTGTCCCTCCCGCTGCGCATATGCAGAATCGAAGGGCAAGATTCGGGTGATGGCGCGGTGGCGGCCGCTGAGTGGCAAGGAGCGGGACGAGCGGCAGCGCATGGTGTTGGGGATGACGGACGAGTTCACGCTGCAGCTCCCCTCCAAGGACGGTGGAGAGCCCAAGCATTTTCAGTTTGACCGGGTGTTCGACCACAACGCCAGTCAAACGACCGTGTTTGAAGACATACGGGTAACCAAGTTGCTCTGTTTAGTACTCAGGGATGATTCAAGTGGCAACACTGTACCAAGGCACGCCCGTCTTATGTGTGTTGTCCCCTGCGCTCACCATTTATGGCAGGCATCACCACCTTGGCCTCCTTGATGCAGTGTAGTCATCCAGTGCCCCACAGCCTGACCCTTTGGGCCCGTGCCCCCTACTCCCCCGCCACCTGCCACCCCCTGCCCTGCCTGCAGTACCTGATTCAGTCGGCCATTGACGGGTTCAACGTGTGCATATTCGCGTACGGGCAGACGGGCAGCGGCAAGACGCACACCATCCATGGCACGGACGAGGACCTCGGGCTCACACCGCGTGCCATGCAGGAGATTCAGAGTTCAGTAATCAAGTCAGCAGACACGGCAGTCAGCCTAAGAAAAAAATTGTCCTTTTGTTCGCTCCCTGCCGTGTGCCTTCAGGAGTGCCCAGGCGGGTGACTTCTCGACGGCAATCAGCGACCTCACTGCTTCACTCAAGCGCCAACACAAGGACCCCATGCTCATCCGTGCTGTGGTAAGTGTGGCCGCCTCAGAGGAGGCAATCCTTGATCTTGCTGCATCTAGTCGAGACCATCTCAGCAGAGAAGCCATGCATATCCGTGCTGTGCTGAGTCCCACACGTCCATACTTGAAACACATTCCTTTCTCCCCTTACATCAGGCCCTGAGTTACGGGGGAGCAGGGCAGTGGAGAGACGCGGTTGAATGAAGTGATGGAGGAGGCAGTGAGGCGGCACCCACGAGTGGCGCTGCTGTGGAGTGACAAGGGCCGCGCGCACAAGGAGTTGGGCCAGGCGGACCTTGCAGCGGATGCACTGCACAAAGCACTAGCGCTGGAAGAGTGAGTTAATAAGGGGGTGACCTGGTGGGTGACGGCATAGTGCCAGAGGCAGTGAGATTGTTGGCAGGCACTGTGCACAGGGGGTTGGGTGGTGAGGAAGAAAGGGGAAAGGGGGGGGATGTGTGTGGGTAGAGGGTGCTGAGAGCATATGCTGTTTGTGTCTACTCTTAAGCTGTTTGTGTATGTCTGCCCGCGTGACTGTGTTCCTGTGCATGTGTTTTCGTCTTGTTGTATTTGAGCATGCATGTTTGATGTTTGCATGCATGTGTGCCTGTCTGAGGATGCGTGTGTGTGTGCGTGTTTGCATGTTGGCATGTGTGCATGTCCGCACGTGTGCATGCATGAATTTTCACATTTATGCAACTTGTATGGGTGCATTGGTGCATTGGCGCATGATTGCGGTGAGTGCAGGTCACCAGAGGCATATCTACGGGTGGGCCTTCAGTTGCAGAGCATTGGGGACCACAGGTGAGACTGGTTACACAAGATGGACCACGGGAGGGCTGAGCCAGCTCAAGAAAGGGAGGGGGGAAGGGGGGGGGGGGGGAGGGGGAGGGTGGGACGGGGAATCACAAGGGTCTGCTTGACTATCTCTCTTTGTTCTCCTCTTCCCCCTCTTCCTTCCCGCCACAACTTCTGCTTCCCCTCCCAATATCTTTCTAGCCCACTTCCCCAGTACTTTCGTTTTCCCCTTGTTTCCAACTCAGCTTCGTATCACACCCTTTCCTCGCTTCATAGTCTGCCTGTGCACATCCTCTCTCCCCTCATCCCTCAAGTGCCACATGCAAGGTGTGCTGTGAGTTGACTCTAACACGTCTGTGTGTCTGTGTCCTCTCTTCCTTCGCCCCTTACTAGAGACGCCATCAAGTACGCCCACACGGCGCTGAAGCTCAAGCTGATGGACATTGAGTTCAACTACCAAGAAGCTTCCTCGCTGCATGCAGTTGGGGACTACAATGCTGCAGTAAGACGTGCCATGTATTTTTCATTCTTTGCATGGGTTCAAATTGCTGTAGCATGGCGTGGGGTTAGTCATAACTGCCAGTCATTGTCATCTTATGGGTACTGAAACAGGGAAGCATGGATTCAAATCGCGTTTTGCATGCAATTCACCGGTTCATATCGCTTTCACACATGACTATCATGCGTATTGAACCGAACATGCCACCTTCTTAACCCACCTACTCCATTTCCTTCAACAAGGTGAGTGAGGGTACCGCTGCCACGACCCCCACGAGGTGAGTGAGGCTACCGCTGCCACGACCCCCACAAGGTGAGTGAGGGTACCGCCGCCACGACCCCCACGAGGTGAGTGAGGGTACCGCTGCCACGACCCCCACGAGCTGAGTGAGGGTGCCGCGGCCACGACCCCCACGAGGTGAGTGACGGTACCGCCGCCACGACCCCCACGAGGTGAGTGAGGGTACCGCTGCCACAACCCCCACGAGGTGAGTGAGGGTATCGCTGCCACGACCCCCACGAGGTGAGTGAGGGTGCCGCCGCCACAACCCCCACGAGGTGAGTGAGGGTACCGCTGCCACGACCCCCACGAGGTGAGTGAGGGTGCCGCTGCCACGACCCCCATGAGGTGAGTGAGGGTACCGCTGCCACGACCCCCACGAGGTGAGTGAGGGTACCGATGCCACGACCCCCACGAGATGAGTGAGGATACCGCTGCCACAACCCCCACGAGGTGAGTGAGGGTACCGCTGCCACGACCCCCACGAGGTGAGTGAGGGTACCGCTGCCACGACCCCCACGAGGTGAGTGAGGGTACTGCTGCCACGACCCCCACGAGGTGAGTGAGGGTACCGCTGCCACGACCCCCACGAGGTGAGTGAGGGTACCGCTGCCACGACCCCCACGAGGTGAGTGAGGGTACCGCTGCCACAACCCCCACGAGGTGAGTGAGGGTACCGCTGCCACGACCCCCACGAGGTGAGTGAGGGTACCGCTGCCACGACCCCCACGAGGTGAGTGAGGGTACCGCTGCCACGACCCCCACGAGGTGAGTGAGGGTACCGCTGCCACGACCCCCAAGAGGTGAGTGAGGGTACCGCTGCCACGACCTCCACGAGGTGAGTGAGGGTACCGCTGCCACAACCCCCACGAGGTGAGTGAGGGTACCGCTGCCACGACCCCCAAGAGGTGAGTGAGGGTACCACTGCCACGACCCCCAAGAGGTGAGTGAGGGTACCGCTGCCACGACCTCCACGAGGTGAGTGAGGGTACCGCTGCCACAACCCCCACGAGGTGAGTGAGGGTACCGCTGCCACGACCTCCACGAGGTGAGTGAGGGTACCGCTGCCACGACCCCCACGAGGTGAGTGAGGGTACCGCTGCCACGACCCCCACGAGGTGAGTGAGGGTACCGCTGCCACGACCCCCACGAGGTGAGTGAGGGTACCGCTGCCACGACCCCCACGAGGTGAGTGAGGGTACCGCTGCCACGACCCCCACGAGGTGAGTGAGGGTACCGCTGCCACGACCCCCACGAGGTGAGAGAGGGTACCGCCGCCGCCACGACCCCCACGAGGTGAGTGAGGGTGCCACTCCCACGACCCCCACGAGGTGAGTGAGGGTACCGCTGCCACGACCCGCACGAGGTGAGTGAGGGTACCGCCGCCACGACCCCCACGAGGTGAGTGAGGGTACCGCCGCCACGACCCCCATGAGGTGAGTGAGGGTACCGCTGCCACGACCCCCACGAGGTGAGTGAGGGTACCGCTGCCACGACCCCCACGAGGTGAGTGAGGGTACCGCCGCCACGACCCCCACGAGGTGAGTGAGGGTACCGCTGCCACGACCCCCACGAGGTGAGTGAGGATACCGCTGCCACGACCCCCACGAGGTGAGTGAGGGTACCGCCGCCACGACCCCCACGAGGTGAGTGAGGGTACCGTCGCCGCCACGGCCCCCACAAGGTGAGTGAGGGTACCGCCGCCACGACCCCCACGAGGTGAGTGAGGGTACCGCCGCCACGACCCCCATGAGGTGAGTGAGGGTACCGCTGCCACGACCCCCACGAGGTGAGTGAGGGTACCGCTGCCACGACCCCCACGAGCTGAGTGAGGGTACCGCTGCCACGACCCCCACGAGGTGAGTGAGGGTACCGCTGCCACGACCCCCACGAGGTGAGTGAGGGTACCGCCGCCGCCACGACCCCCACGAGGTGAGTGAGGGTGCCTCTGCCACGACCCCCACGAGGTGAGTGAGGGTACCGCTGCCACGACCCCCACTAGGTGAGTGAGGGTACCGCTGCCACGACCCCCACGAGGTGAGTGAGGGTACCGCTGCCACAACCCCCACGAGGTGAATGAGGGTACCGCTGCCACGACCCCCACGAGGTGAGTGAGGGTACCGCCGCCACGACCCCCACGAGGTGAGTGAGGGTACCGTCGCCGCCACGGCCCCCACGAGGTGAGTGAGGGTACCGCTGCCACGACCCCCACGAGGTGAGTGAGGGTACCGCTGCCACGACCCCCACGAGGTGAGTGAGGGTACCGCTGCCTTGACCCCCACGAGGTGAGTGAGGGTACCGCTGCCACGACCCCCACAAGGTGAGTGAGGGTACCGCTGCCACGACCCCCACGAGGTGAGTGAGGGTACCGCTGCCACGACCCCCACGAGGTGAGTGAGGGTACCGCCGCCACGACCCCCACGAGGTGAATGAGGGTACCGCTGCCACGACCCCCACGAGGTGAGTGAGGGTACCGCTGCCACGACCCCCACGAGGTGAGTGAGGGTACCGCTGCCACGACCCCCACGAGGTGAGTGAAGGTACCGCTGCCACGACCTCCACGAGGTGAGTGAGGGTACCGCTGCCACAACCCCCACGAGGTGAGTGAGGGTACCGCTGCCACGACCCCCACGAGGTGAGTGAGGGTACCGCTGCCACGACCCCCACGAGGTGAGTGAGGGTGGGTGCCGCTGCCACGACCCCCACGAGGTGAGTGAGGGTACCGCTGCCACGACCCCCACGAGGTGAGTGAGGGTACCGCCGCCACGACCCCCACGAGGTGAGTGAGGGTACCGCTGCCACGACCCCCACGAGGTGAGTGAGGGTACCGCTGCCACGACCCCCACGAGGTGAGTGAGGGTACCGCCGCCACGACCCCCACGAGGTGAGTGAGGGTACCGCTGCCACGACCCCCACGAGGTGAGTGAGGATACTGCTGCCACGACCCCCACGAGGTGAGTGAGGGTACCGCCGCGACGACCCCCACGAGGTGAGTGAGGGTACCATCACCGCCATGGCCCCCACGAGGTGAGTGAGGGTACCGCTGCCACGACCCCCAAGAGGTGAGTGAGGGTACCGCTGCCACGACCCCCACGAGGTGAGTGAGGGTACCGCTGCCACGACCCCCACGAGGTGAGTGAGGGTACCGTTGCCACGACCCCCACGAGGTGAGTGAGGGTACCGCTGCCACGACCCCCACGAGGTGAGTGAGGGTACCGCTGCCACGACCCCCACGAGGTGAGTGAGGGTACCGCTGCCACGACCCCCACGAGGTGAGTGAGGGTACCGCTGCCACGACCCCCACGAGGTGAGTGAGGGTACCGCTGCCACGACCCCCACGAGGTGAGTGAGGGTACCGTCGCCGCCACGGCCCCCACGAGGTGAGTGAGGGTACCGCTGCCACGACCCCCAAGAGGTGAGTGAGGGTACCGCTGCCACGACCCCCAAGAGGTGAGTGAGGGTACCGCTGCCACGACCCCCACGAGGTGAGTGAGGGTACCGCTGCCACGACCCCCAAGAGGTGAGTGAGGGTACCGCTGCCACGACCCCCACGAGGTGAGTGAGGGTACCGTCGCCGCCACGGCCCCCACGAGGTGAGTGAGGGTACCGCTGCCACGACCCCCAGGAGGTGAGTGAGGGTACCGCCGACGCCACGACCCCCACGAGGTGAGTGAGGGTACCGCTGCCACGACCCCCACGAGTTGAGTGAGGGTACCGCTGCCACGACCCCCACGAGGTGAATGAGGGTACCGCTGCCACGACCCCCACGAGGTGAGTGAGGGTACCACCGTCACGACCCCCACGAGGTGAGTGAGGGTACCGCTGCCACGACCCCCACGAGGTGAGTGAGGATACCGCTGCCACGACCCCCACGAGGTGAGTGAGGTTACCGCCGCCACGACCCCCACGAGGTGAGTAAGGGTACCGTCGCCGCCATGGCCCCCACGAGGTGAGTGAGGGTACCGCTGCCACGACCCCCACGAGGTGAGTGAGGGTACCGCTGCCACGACCCCCACGAGGTGAGTGAGGGTACCGCTGCCTTGACCCCCAAGAGGTGAGTGAGGGTACCGCTGCCACGACCCCCACGAGGTGAGTGAGGGTACCGCTGCCACGACCCCCACGAGGTGAGTGAGGGTACCGCTGCCACGACCCCCACGAGGTGAGTGAGGGTACCGCTGCCACGACCCCCACGAGGTGAGTGAGGGTACCGCTGCCACGACCCCCACGAGGTGAGAGAGGGTACCGCCGCCGCCACGACCCCCACGAGGTGAGTGAGGGTGCCACTCCCACGACCCCCACGAGGTGAGTGAGGGTACCGCTGCCACGACCCGCACAAGGTGAGTGAGGGTACCGCCGCCACGACCCCCACGAGGTGAGTGAGGGTACCGCCGCCACGACCCCCATGAGGTGAGTGAGGGTACCGCTGCCACGACCCCCACGAGGTGAGTGAGGGTACCGCTGCCACGAACCCCACGAGGTGAGTGAGGGTACCGCCACCAAGACCCCCACGAGGTGAGTGAGGGTACCGCTGCCACGACCCCCACGAGGTGAGTGAGGATACCGCTGCCACGACCCCCACGAGGTGAGTGAGGGTACCGCCGCCACGACCCCCACGAGGTGAGTGAGGGTACCGTCGCCGCCACGGCCCCCACGAGGTGAGTGAGGGTACCGCCGCCACGACCCCCACGAGGTGAGTGAGGGTACCGCCGCCACGACCCCCATGAGGTGAGTGAGGGTACCGCTGCCACGACCCCCACGAGGTGAGTGAGGGTACCGCTGCCACGACCCCCATGAGCTGAGTGAGGGTACCGCTGCCACGACCCCCACGAGGTGAGTGAGGGTACCGCTGCCACGACCCCCACGAGGTGAGTGAGGGTACCGCCGCCGCCACGACCCCCACGAGGTGAGTGAGGGTGCCTCTGCCACGACCCCCACGAGGTGAGTGAGGGTACCGCTGCCACGACCCCCATGAGGTGAGTGAGGGTACCGCTGCCACGACCCCCACGAGGTGAGTGAGGGTACCGCTGCCACGACCCCCACGAGGTGAGTGAGGGTACCGCCGCCTTGACCCCCACGAGGTGAGTGAGGGTACCGCTGCCACGACCCCCACTAGGTGAGTGAGGGTACCGCTGCCACGACCCCCACGAGGTGAGTGAGGGTACCGCTGCCACAACCCCCACGAGGTGAATGAGGGTACCGCTGCCACGACCCCCACGAGGTGAGTGAGGGTACCGCCGCCACGACCCCCACGAGGTGAGTGAGGGTACCGTCGCCACCACGGCCCCCACGAGGTGAGTGAGGGTACCGCTGCCACGACCCCCACGAGGTGAGTGAGGGTACCGCTGCCACGACCCCCACGAGGTGAGTGAGGGTACCGCTGCCTTGACCCCCACGAGGTGAGTGAGGGTACCGCTGCCACGACCCCCACGAGGTGAGTGAGGGTACCGCTGCCACGACCCCCACGAGGTGAGTGAGGGTACCGCTGCCACGACCCTCGCGAGGTGAGTGAGGGTACCGCCGCCACGACCCCCACGAGGTGAATGAGGGTACCGCTGCCACGACCCCCACGAGGTGAGTGAGGGTACCGCTGCCACGACCCCCACGAGGTGAGTGAGGGTACCGCTGCCACGACCCCCACGAGGTGAGTGAGGGTACCGCTGCCACGACCCCCACGAGGTGAGTGAGGGTACCGCTGCCACGACCCCCACGAGGTGAGTGAGGGTACCGCTGCCACGACCCCCACGAGGTGAGTGAGGGTACCGCTGCCACGACCCCCACGAGGTGAGTGAGGGTACCGCCGCCACGACCCCCACGAGGTGAGTGAGGGTACCGCTGCCACGACCCCCACGAGGTGAGTGAGGGTACCGCTGCCACGACCCCCACGAGGTGAGTGAGGGTACCGCTGCCAAGACCCCCACGAGGTGAGTGAGGGTACCGCTGCCACGACCCCCACGAGGTGAGTGAGGGTACCGCTGCCACGACCCCCACGAGGTGAGTGAGGGTACCGCTGCCACAACCCCCACGAGGTGAGTGAGGGTACCGCCGCCGCCACGACCTCCACGAGGTGAGTGAGGCTACCGTTGTCACGACCCCCACAAGGTGAGTGAGGGTACCGCTGCCACGACCCCCACGAGGTGAGTGAGGCTACCGCTGCCACGACCCCCACGAGGTGAGTGAGGGTACCGCCGCCACGACCCCCACGAGGTGAGTGAGGGTACCGTCGCCGCCACGGCCCCCACGAGGTGAGTGAGGGTACCGCTGCCACGACCCCCACGAGGTGAGTGAGGGTACCGCTGCCACGACCCCCACGAGGTGAGTGAGGGTACCGCTGCCACGACCCCCACGAGGTGAGTGAGGGTACCGCTGCCACGACCCCCACGAGGTGAGTGAGGGTACCGCCGCCACGACCCCCATGAGGTGAGTGAGGGTACCGCTGCCACGACCCCCACGAGGTGAGTGAGGGTACCGCCGCCATGACCCCCACGAGGTGAATGAGGGTACCGCTGCCACGACCCCCACGAGGTGAGTGAGGGTACCGCTGCCACGACCCCCACGAGGTGAGTGAGGGTACCGCTGCCACGACCCCCACGAGGTGAGTGAGGGTACCGCTGCCACGACCCCCACGAGGTGAGTGAGGGTACCGCTGCCACGACCCCCACGAGGTGAGTGAGGGTACCGCTGCCACGACCCGCACGAGGTGAGTGAGGGTACCGCCGCCGCCACGACCTCCACGAGGTGAGTGAGGCTACCGTTGTCACGACCCCCACAAGGTGAGTGAGGGTACCGCTGCCACGACCCCCACGAGGTGAGTGAGGGTACCGCTGCCACGACCCCCACGATGTGAGTTAGGGTACCGCCGCCACGACCCCCACGAGGTGAGTGAGGCTACCGCTGCCACGACCCCTACGGGGTGAGTGAGGGCACTGCTGCCACGACTCCCACGAGGTGAGGGAATTGCCCTGCCATTGCACGAGTTGAAGTTCCAGTGCCCACATAATTTTTTCGTCTCCCCTGCTTCTTCGCCTGCTCTGCTGCTTGTGTGTTGACTCTGCTGGCTTATCTCACTTTCCATCCCAGCACCCACCTTGTGACTCTCCTCAATCTCACCCTCACCACCCCCCATCCAGCCCTCCTCTCCCCTGAAGCCCCTTCTCCCACCCCGTGCCTTCCCCAGCTACCATCGGACAGTGCATGGCAGGGCGTGTGTCTGGCACTCGCGGAGCTGGCAGCTAGAGGTCTGCATCTGCCGTCGCGCCTGCACTCCGTCACGCCCCTCCTCGCCTCTGTGTGCCTCCTCCCCCTCTGCCCCCCCTCGCTCACTGCACGCACTTAACCTCACCACTCAATCACTCACCGTACACACACTCTTTCTCGTTTCATGCTCCAATACCCCACCGCATCACTGTGCCATCCGCAGTCCACACCCTCTCTGCTCCTCGTGCACTCAATGCCCGTTTACCACCATACAGCACTAACGCCTCGATGTCCGTACCTCGTCCATCGCCCACCCATCACCCTTTCCCCTTCTCCCGCCATTCTGCGGCTCCCTCCTTTCTGCACCCACGCCCAACATTCTCTCCCCTCCCCCCTCCCTTCCCTCTTCTCCCCTTCACCAGGCGTTGCACTACGAGGTGTTGCGGGGGGCAGTGGGAACAGGGGCGCATGTGCGAGATGCAGCAGCGTATGTGTTCTGGGCATCGCCCACTCCTTCTCACCGGCCGTCGCTGCTGCCTCCCTGCAACAGCTTTGCCCTCCCCTCCTTGCCGTTGCGTGGTGTGACCGCCAGGTGGGCTGCTGTGACCGCCAGGTGGGCTGCTGTGACCGCCAGGTGGGCTGCTGTGACCGCCAGGGGGGCTGCTGTGACTGCCAGGTGGGCTGCTGTGACCGCCAGGGGGGCTGCTGTGACTGCCAGGTGGGCTGCTGTGACCGCCAGGTGGGCTGCTGTGACTGCCAGGTGGGCTGCTGTTACCGCCAGGTGGGCTGCTGTGACCGCCATGCCCCATGCCCATACCCCATGATGCCCCATGCACATTGCCACATGCCCCGTGTCCCATGCCCCCCCATACCTCATGCCCCATGCCCCGTGCCTCAAACCCCAGGCCCATGCCCCATGCTTCACACCCCATGCAATGCGCCCAGATGATGTGCAGGTGGGCGGCAGCAGCGGCCTTCCAGGAGGTGGTGGGTCGCTTTGGCTGCATCTCCGACGCCCACCACCCGAGGCACACCCCATGCCTCCACCAGAGGAGCTGGCCAAGGAGGTGATGCAGTGGAGAGCGGTGCCAAGGAGGAGGAGCAGTGGGCGCCAGCAGGGGGGATTGCCATAGTGAATGCTGCTGACGTCACGTCGCTGTCGTCCACTCGCACCTCATTCACTCACGTGCCCACCACAGCCGCACCTGTCAGACTGAGAAGCCGCAATCATTCTCATCCGCCCTTGCCGCACCTGCACATGCACATGCACCACTGTCAAGTGTGCCTCAGTAACCGCCATTTGCCTCTCCTTACATCTCTCCTCCTTCCTCTCCTCCTGCTTTCCCCTTGTTACCACGTGGCACCATTCGTGGCAGGCTATCCAGAGTACCGGGAGCTGCTACTACTCAAGCTAGCATCCAGCACGCACCACTGGGACAAGGCCATTTGCGCCCTCGCTGCCCACTCTCTCGCCGCCATCGCCCCCCTGGACCCACCCCACCTGCTCTCCCTCCTGCACCTGCACCTCCTCCCCCTGCTCGCCTCCCCCAAGTCCCGACCCCCCCTTTCGCCACGGAGCCCTTCTCGCCACTGCTGCCCTCCTGCCACCCCTCTCCGCATCCTCTCCCTCCTGTGCCCTCACAGGCACCCTCTCCTCCCTCACCTCCTCTCTCCCGAGTCTCCTCGCCCCGCGCTCCTTCCGAGGGCGCCTAGCAGCAGATCTCAAGGTGGCCTGCTGCCGCCTGCTCTCCGCGCTCGCTGCTGCACTGCCCCGCGCACACCTGCCGCCCCTGCCCGTGCCTGCTCTCACTGCTGCCACTGCGTGCCTGCATGACATGCTGGCTGGTGATGGGGGCGAGCTCCAGGTGAGGGTGGGGCGGGACGGGAGGGGGGAGTGACGGGTTGAGAGACTGGAAGCGCACGCACTGGAAGCATGGTGGGCACACCATGTCAATGCAAACACCCTACCGTGCTTGCAACATCCCCAAATGCTCATTGCTCACGTTTCACCACTCTCCTCTTCCCCTCTCCTACCCCCGCCTCCAACCTTTCCCGCACTCCTCCCCCCCTTGCCCCAGTGTGCACGGGCGCGCTTTGTCTCATTGGTGCAGGAGGCAGCAGCAGCAGCCCTGTGGGACCTCGCTCGCTCCCAGCTCTTCCCTGCCTGCACGCACCTCGTGCACCAGATAGTCACCTGCCATGCAGCGACTCTGGAGTCTACCAGCTCAGCAGCGAGTGCGAGGCGAGGCGCTGTGTTGGCACTGCAGTGCTTCCTGCCCAGCCTCTGACCTGCCTGGCCCTCCGCCTCTCCCCTTGACTCCCCTGATGCTGGCACCGATGAAGCGGGGCTAGGCGTGGGGGGCGCAAATACAGGGCAAGAGGACGGGGAGAGACATGGGGGGACGGAGGGGAGAGGGGGTGAGGGAGGGGTGGATAAGGGTGAGATGTCAAGGTACGAGCTGGCGGAGCGGGTGGTGAAGGCGCTGTGTGCTGCTGCCACCAACAATGTGAGTGCTCTCTGCCTCTGCCTCTGCCTCTGCCCCTCCACCCATCCCATTCCCTCCATCCTGTCTTTCTTATCCTCCGACTTCCCTAACATTGATGCCTCATACTTTAATTTCATGTGTCCAGACACCCTTGCGATCAGATTTTCAATTCCTTCACATTTCCACCACCCACCCATTTTTCACCCACTCTGCAACGATCCCCCACCCCTTATCCCCTCCTGTCATCCCTGCAGCGGGGGCGTCGTGCCGTGTCTGACGTGGCAGTGCGGGCAGCAGCCGTGGAGGCACTGGGTAATGCAGCCAGCATCATTCCCCTCCTGCAGGCCGGCGGGGCAGGCGCAAGGGGGCACGCAGGGACAGGTGGGGGAGCCGGGACACAGGTGGGGGAGGGGGAGAAGGAGGAGGTTGAGCTGAGAAGGCAGCGTGGTTTGGTAGGGCTTGGGTGGTGGGAGGAGGGGGGGGAGAGTGTGGTGGGTGCGTTGCTGCGAGCAGCACAGGACTACACGGAGGACCAGCGGGGCGATGTGGGCCGCCTTGTGAGGGAAGCTTCTATGAAAGCACTGGTGGGATGGGTGGGAGAAATGTACAGGTTGAGAGAGGTGGGAGAAGGTGATGTGGGGGATGGAGGGGGTGCAGCAGAGGCGAGTCTCCCACATGGCGTGCCTAGCCCTGCTCTGCCAACAACACACGACGCCTCTTCCCAGCAGCAGCGATACATTGGGATGCGGGACTGGTGCAGAGCGGTGGCAGGGCGGGTGGTGGGTGTGCTGATGAAGCAGGCGGGGGAGAAGATTGACGGCACACGCGAGGTGGCAGGGCAGGGGCTGCAGCGGCTGCTGTGGGGAGGGAAGCACGGTGCAGTGATGGTGGGGATGCGAGAGACAAGAGAGGAAGCATGGACAGGAGAGGCAGTTGAGACATGTGGAGCTGGTGGCAGCACGCTGGGGACATCAGGTGGAGGCGAGGAGGGGAGGGATGGAGGAGGTTCTGTGAGGCAATGCGTGGGCGGCAGGGCGGAAGGGAGCGGTGTGTGCAGGGATGTGGATGGGTGGGAGCAGCTGAGGCAACATGTGCCCTCTGACCCTCACTTTGCATGGAAGGTACACCATATGCTCTGATCTACTTTGCTGTGCTGTGCTCACAGCTATTCCGCTCTCTCTGCTCCTTTGTTGCTCCAGTCCTTCTCATTCCGACCCACCTCTGGTCCTCCCGCATTCACCTCCATCATTTCCCCTCCCTTCCCCCTCTTCCCTCCACACCCAGAATCCCGCGGCTGTCTTTCCACGCCGCCTCACTGCTGCTGCTCCCCGCCTACCGCCTGCCTCTGCTATCGGGGCTGCTGCTCTCCGCGGGCGCTCTCTCTCACTCCCTCACCGCTGCCTCCCTGCGCGCCCTGCTCTCCCTCAAACAAGCACTGGGGGCACAGGGGGGCACGAGGGAGGCAGGAGAGGGGGGTGGGGGCAGGCAGTGGGAGGAGGTGCAGGGGCGGATAGCAGAGGATGTGGTGGTGCTGCTGAGGCGGCACCGCAAGCAGACCCGGGTCATAATTCTGTACATCAAGGTAGAATGCTGCATTTGAGTGCACGCCAACTAATTTTCCCTTCACAGCAGCATGGTTCTCGCTTTCATGTGTGATGGCCTGGCCAGAATGCAACTGTGCACAGGCCGCCGCTAGTGGCTGTGCCCTGCCGTGTGCGGGAGGGTGCACTGAAGACAAGTGCTGTGACGCATTGCTGCCCTGCATGCCTGTGTGTGGTTCTTTGTTGAGGCTTGCTACTGCTCTTACACCCTCATCTCCTGTGTGCTCTCACTGTGTGTGTGCTCCTACTGGTTGCCCTCTGCTCTCACTGCAGGCGATTGCTGCCCTGCTTCAGGCCGAGTTCTTCGGGTCACTATCAGCTGACAGCCCAGCTTCAGACGAGGTCCGTGAAGCCCTGCACTGCACCTGCCCTCTCCAACGCCCACTAACCGTGCTGGCATCCCTCACCTTCCCCCATTCACATCATCCTCACACTCTGGGCCATTGGGCCATCCCTCTGTGCATGCCAACCGCCTCCATCCTGACATTCTGCATAGCATTGCCCTGCCCTCGCAGCCTATTCCCGCCACCACCCCCCTGGCGGCTCTACCCGGGGCGCTGGTGGAGGGATAGGAGGAGGAGCTGTGCCGCCCACAGCCCACGGCATCGGTGCCCAAGATGCTGGGAGCCGTCGACCTGCTCTGCCACCTCGTCGCCCCCCTCTGCTCCGCTTGCCGCCACGCCCTCTCCACGCTCCTCTGGCTGATCGCCGTGCGCTTCCCCACTGTGAGTTCACCTCATAGTCCCCTTTGCGTGTGTACCGGCCAGTCCCCACTGCGATTGTGCCTGCTCTGGCAGCATTGCACCCACTACTCGTATCGGCAGAGTACTGCCATTGCGCTCCACTGCGTAGCTCCTCCTTGCGTGTCCAGTGTCACAGCAAGCCCGGTCCATGGGTTGTGTTACATGTTTAGAAGTTCAAGACCCTTTCATATTTCATGCTCCGATGCATCTGCAACAGGTTCGGAGGCATTGTGCAGAGTAACTGTATCTGCTGCTTCTAATGGGGACAGAAGGCGGAGATGGAACGGAGGATGTTGATAGAGAGGCAGCGTTGGAACAAGCTTCAGATTTTCTTAGCGCTGATTGGGGTGCAATGGATGATGCTTTAGTGTCTAGTCACATGCGCAACTTGCGGGCTTTGCTAGAACCTGTTTTCACGTAAGACCATATGTTTGGCGCCCACATGTGCATATGCAAATTCTCACTCAATTGGTCGGAAGTAGTGTACTATATCATCCGCATGTTATGCACATAGAAATTGATGCAGAGGAATGCAAGCTACCAGTCAGGCCCTCAGATTGGTTAGAGGGTATGCTGATGGATAAGCGTGCCCTAGCCAACCAGGTGTCCAAATCAGCGTTCATGGTTTTGTTTATACTGATTTTGTCAGTGTAAAAATTCTTAGTATACTGAACCATCAGTGTAAAAAAAAAAGGTGATAGTGGGCAGTCGTGAACAAGGTTAACACGGAGTGTTGTGCAGCAGTGTCACCAGAGCTGTTGTGCTGTTGTGTTGTGATAGGTATTTTCCAGCGAGGCAAAACAGTTTGGCGCGCACCAACTGTCTGTACAGCGCATGGGAAAAAAATCACGGGATCGTGAATCACGGGAAGGTACAGACTGTACACGCGTACCCTGTCCTCAACCCTCCCCCCCCCCCCCCCCCCCCCCCCCCCTTCAACCTGTCAAGTTCGTTTCAGTGTGACTCACATCACCGTACTGATTCGTCAGTGTTACTTGTACAGCAACACGCAAAATGGTCAGTGTGACAAGATAGGTTATACTGAAAAATCAGTGCAAAATTGAAGCATATGCTGAATTCTCAGGGAAAACGAAAATCACAGCTACAAAATCAGCCTAATCTGCGTGTTTTACGCTGATATCTGAGGGCCTGCTACCAGTATATGACAGCACATTCTGGGTTCTGCGAATGATTGAGAGCGCGACTGTCAATGCTGCGTGCGACAAATTCTGGGTCTCCAATCCCACCAATAACCATTCATTTCTTGTTTTCCATCCCATCATAGATTTCGCGCCATTTAGTCACAGCGCCACAGACAAACCATCATACTTCGCGTAATAGACAAGGTAGAGCGCACCAAGCCGAAGCCGTTCAAGGCGGAGTACGCCAAGTCGGCGCGCGGGAGCTGCCGGAAGTGCAACGAGACCAACACGAAAGACGCCTTCCGCAACGCGATTTGGCGAGCGTCGAGCGCCCCAGTGAGGCCCACGGCCAAATAACATTCTCATGTCCAACATTCTCGTGTCCAACATTCTTGTGTCCAACTTTCTCGAGTCCAACATTCTCGTATCCAACATTCTCGTGTTTGCTTGGACAAAGTGCTTGCTTGGACCAAGTGCTTGCTTGGACCAAATGCTTGCTTGGACCAAGTGATTGTTTGGACCAAATGCTTGCTTGGACCAAGTGAGACTTGCTTGGACCAAGTGCTTGCTTGGACCAAGTGCTTGCTTGGACCAAGTGCTTGCTTGGACCAAGTGCTTGCTTGGACCAAGTGCCTGCTTGGACCATGTGCTTGCTTGGACCAAGTGCTTGCTTGGACCAAGTGCTTGTTTGGACCAAGTGCTTTCTTGGATCAAGTGTTTTCTTGGACCAAGTGCTTGCGTGGACCAAGTGCTTGCTTGGACCAAGTGCTTGCTTGGACCAAGTGCCTGCTTGGACCAAGTGCCTAATGAGCATTCTCGAGTCCAACATTCTCGGGTGTCCAACATTCTCGAGTCCAACATTCACGAGTCCAACATTCTCGGGTGTCCAACATTATCGTGTCCAACATTCTCTAGTCCAACACTCTCGTGTCCAACATTCTCGTGTCCAACATTCCCTAGTCCAACAATCCCGTGTCCAACATTCTCGAGTCCAACATTATCGAGTCCAACATTCTCGAGTCCAACATTCACGTGTCCAACATTCTCGTGTCCAACATTCTCGTGTGTCCAACATTCTCGTGTGTCCAACATTTTCTAGTCCAACATTCTCGTGTCCAACATTTTCCTGTCCAACATTCTCGAGTCCAACATTCTCCAGTCCAACATTCCCGGGTCCAACATTCTCGCGTCCAACATTCCCGAGTCCAACATTCTTGAGTCCAACATTCCCGAGTCCAACATTCTCGAGTTCAACATTCTCGAGTCCAACATTCTCGAGTCAAACATTCTCGAGTCCAACATTATCGAGTCCAACATTCTCGTGTCCAATATTCTCGTGTCCAACATTCTCGTGTGTCCAACATTCTCGTCTGTCCAACATTCTTGAGTCCAACGTTCTCGAGTCCAACATTCTCGAGTCTAACATTTTTGAGTCCAACATTCTCGAGTCAAACATTCTCGATTCCAACATTATCAAGTCCAACATTATCGAGTCCAACATTCTCGTGTCCAATATTCTCGTGTCCAACATTCTCGTGTGTCCAACATTCTCGAGTCCAACATTCTCGTGTCCAACATTTTCGCGTCCAACATTCTCGAGTCCAACATTCTCGTGTCCAACATTCTCGCGTCCAACATTCCCGAGTCCAACATTATCCAGTCCAACATTCTCGTGTCCAACATTCTCGTGTGTCCAACTTTCTCGAGTCCAACATTTTCGAGTCCAACATTCTCGAGTCCAACATTATCGAGTCTAACATTTTCGCGTCCAACATTCTCGTGTCTAACAATCTCGAATCCAACATTCGTGCATCCAACATTATCGAGTGTCCAACATTCTCGAGTCCAACATTCTCGCGTCCAACATTCTTGAGTCCAACATTCTCGTGTCCAACATTCTCGAGTCCAACATTCTCGTGTCCAACATTTTTGCGTCCAACATTCTCTTGTCCAACATTCTCGTGTCCAACATTCATGTGTCCAACATTTCGTGTCCAACATTCTCGTGTATCCAACATTCTCGAGTCCAACATTCCCGTGTCCAACATTTTCGTGTCCAACATTTTCGTGTCCAAACGTTGGACGCGGGAAAACGTTGGACGCGGGAAAACGTTGGACAGGGGAAAACGTTGGACGGGTCAAAATGTTGGACGGGGCAAAATGTTGGACGGGGGAAACGTTGGACGCTGGATAACGTTGGACGCGGGGAAAAGTTGGACGCTGGATAACGTTGGACGCGGGGAAAAGTTGGACGCGGGAAAACGTTGGACGCGGGAAAACGTTGGACGGGGAAAATGTTGGACGGGACAAAATGTTGGACGTGGCAAAATGTTGGACGGGGCAAAATGTTGGACGTGGGAAAATGTTAGACGCGGGAAAATGTTGGACGCGGGTGATAGAATTGGAACTGAACTGATTGATTAGGAAAAAAGGCACTAGGCCTTAAGTACAAACGAGGTTGGGATGGGCAAGGCTAGGGAAAGGATGGGATGGGAATCCTAGCAAATCTCCAATTGGTGAGTTGGCAGATTTGCAGGATTACAAGGGAATCCCAACCAGATATGGTTGGGATTACAAACTACACCCAACCCGCAAATAACCTACGCGATATAGAATATAGTACACTAAGTGTTGATAGCCTAATTCTAACACACCCCCTAGGCTGCAACACATCAGCCACAAAGAGGCCCAATACCCATGGCCGAGAGGAGGCGGTAATGATCCTCGCGAACAAGCGACTTGATAAGCAAGTCAGCAAGGTTGCAGTCGGAGGCAATGTGTTCAGCCTTCAGCTGCTCGCGCTGCACCAGCTCACGAAGAAAGTAGTGACGGACTTCAATGTGCTTGGTGCGGCCATGGAAAACGGGGTCTTTGGTGAGATGAATGGTGCTCTCGTTGTCACACCAAAGCGTTGGGGCTGGTTGGGGATACCCCAGTTCTGTCAGCAGGAAGGAGAGCCAACGAGCCTCCTGTGCAGCCATGGTCCCGGCATACAGCTCTGCCTCACAGGTCGATAGTGAGACGGAGGACGACCGAGTGGAGCGCCAACTTACAACCCCACTGCCAAGGGTGAAGCAATACCCTTGGGACGAGCGCCGATCACTCTGGTCATCAGCATAGGATGAGTCACTGTACCCCTCAAGCGAACCGGGGAAGTGCCGCCAAGTGTGAGCACATAATCCTGTGTGCCTTTGAGATAGCGAAGAACCCGTTTGGCGGAAGACCAGTGGTGGCGAGTGAAGCGACCAGGTGCAACGTAGCGAGACAGTACACTGACTGGATAGGCTAAGTCTGGTCGAGTGCACATCATCGCGTACATGAGGGATCCCACGAGCTCGGGGTAAGGCTCGTCACAGGGCTCAGGTGAGGGAACGGAGGGTGCAGTGAGTTGGTGTTGCAGAGAGAGTGGGGTGGGCATTGATGCTGCTTCCTGCATCTTTAACCTCGTCAGAATGTTGTTGATGTAAAACTTCTGCGAAAGGGTAATGGTGCGGGCTGTGCGATCACGTGTGATTTCCATTCCCAAATAGTTGGTCAGCTTCCCAAGGTCCTTCATGTCCAGCTTCTCACCAAGTGCGGTTTTGACTGCTGCCAGCTCAGTCTGATCCTTGGTGACAAGGATCATGTCATCGACATAAACGAGGATGAAGAACCGGGAGGGTGTTGCTCGGATGAAGAGGCTGGGGTCAGAGGTGGATGGGTGAAAATCGAGCGACCCTAAGGTGCTCTTTAGCTTGTTGTCGAGTCTAACATTCTCGTGTCCAACATTCTCGTGTCCAACATTCTCGTGTCCAACATTTTCGTGTCCAACATTCTCGAGTCCAACATTCTCGAGTCCAACATTCTCATCTGTCCAA